TCAGCTTCTCAGGGCAAACCAAGGAGCGGCAGAATGGCACTGGTCAACACGATACAAGACAGCGAGAGGAAGAAGGCACAACCAAGCAAAAGCATCAACGCAACAAGACAACGGCACAAGTCCTTAGAAATCATAAGCACCAGGCTCCACGGGAATCGAAACTACACAAGCACTAGGACAAAGCAATCCAGTCCAATTGGTGCGCTTACCAAATCAAAAGTCCATCCTAAATTCAGCATTAAGTAATCATCGAGCTTAACTTCTTCGTCATAAAACCCCCGAGTGACTGCAAGAATACAATATTAAGCCCGGTCACCACCTTGACACATACAAAAGGCTTATTTGGCAGTATAGACATTTTAACGAAACCCTGAGGAATGCAACCTCAAGTGGAGAAGTCACAAAATGCCACATGTGTGGTTCTCATTTTAATAGCTAAAAGAGGAACACTGCTTCTAATTCCTTTTTTACAGTAAAACCTCGTTAATTCAACACCTGCACTTCGGAGATTTCGATAATTTGAACTGCCGATCCGGTCCTGTCAAACGTGTACAGTCTAAGCTCGTTATAACAGGCCTTGATTTTGACAAAACTTTCGGTCTGACGTAAAAGGAGTATGTTGTATGCAGATATGAAGTTGAGTCAACGGTGCATAGAAGAAAACCAACCAAACTTCACAAATCGGTATGTTATTTATCCAAATGTCTGTCGTAACCAGGTCTTTTATAATGAGCTTAGACTGTATTAGTAAATGGCACCGAATGCTCATTAATTCTGAGACAGTTGGACGGGCTATGGTTAATTCGGATGAAGTCGGAGGGTTGTGCAAGCTACTACTGCCCGTTCCAAAGGCCACTATCCATCCAAGATGCACATGTGGCTCTTCTGTTTTTCTGATCTCTTTCAGCTCTTCGTGTTTCGCGCCAGTTTTGCTCTTGAACGCCGCACGTTCAGTGCACTGGTTTGCACGCCCCTGGCGTGTCGTCATCACGTGCAGCAACCGCAGTAACCTCTATAACCTCTATGGCGGCGTTTCCAGAGAAGCGGCAGAAGTACCAGATTAAGGATTTAGCGACAAAAGTGGAAATACTGAGGGCCCTGAAAGATGGCGTCTCTCGACAACGAGTGATGAAAAGGTGCGACGTCAAGAGAAGCACTTCGGCCGCGTACGTGAGAAATGAGGCCGAGATCCCACGGGCTTTCGAGAGCGACGAGTTCACCGTGAAAAAAAAACGGCTGCGGAGGACGGCAAATCTGAAACTAGAAGATGCCTTGCTGCGGTGGGTCATAAGCGCAAGGGATGCACAGCTGCCCTTGAGTGGTCCTCTGATCTGCGCGCAAGCAGAGAAGTGTGCACTGAAGATGAAGATTGTTTCGTTCAAAGCATCAGAGGGCTGGTTTGCTCATTTCAAAGACAGACACGGACTGGTCTTCAGGTGCCATCGACGGCGCTGTAGTCGACGACTGGAAGAATGTCAAGCTTCGCGAGCACCTCACTGCATATCAGCCGAACAATATCTTAATGCAGATGAGACAGCGTTGTTTTACATAGTCCTACCAGACAAAACCATTACACTGAAAGGAGACACCTGCACAGGCGGCAAAAGAAGTAGAGAAAAGGTCACAGTCCTCGTCGGCACAAACATGACTGGTACGGAGCGCTTGCCACTTCTTGTGATTGGAAAGGCGAAGAAGCCGAGATGTTCCAAAAACCTCAAACGACTTCCCGTGGGCTACCAAGCGAATTGGAAGGCTTGGATGACGTCTGAAACTTTTCGAGATTGTCTGCACCAGCTAGACCGACGCTTCTGCGCCAAGAAGCACAAGGTGTCAATGTTTGTCTATAATTGCGGTGCCCACTTCACTGTGTCGGGACTGGAGCGCATTCAGGTCATGACTTTGCTTCTGAACAATACTGCTGTCCCCTTCAACCCACAGATCAAAGGATAATTCAGTGTGCAACAAGCAGCTACAGGAAGCACGTATTGGAACGAATGTTGCTGTGTATCCAGTCTGCGAAGGAATACAATGTTTCGCTCCTCAGTGCTACCCCCATTTTGTCGTACGTGTGGAACAACACGCCAGCTAAGATTATCGCGAATTGTTTTAAGCACAGCGGCTTTGTCCGGTCCGAAGCCTGCCAGGCGGTGGGGACCCCAGATGTCGCTGAAGACGACGACGGCCGTTTCGACGGTGTCCTCCCTGCCCAAGAGAAACTTGCTGACTACCTCGCGATTGATGACGGTGTTGTTGTGGCCGGTCAACCAAGTGTCGATGAGATCATCAGGGATGCCCTATGTGATGATGGGCGTACTTCGGACGAAGATGAAGACTGTGTGTGAGGGGCCACGTTGTCGCACTGTGCGAGAGGCTGCAGAGGCTCTTGTTGTGCTCGAGGAATTTTGCTACACCACCTCTCACAGTGCGAGTGCATTGGAGCACCTGACTGCGCTAAGAAAAGTTGTCTCCGCTCAAACGTTGTCCAGAAAGAAGGCGACAATAACAGATTTCTTTTCAAAATAAAAGACTGCCACCGGGAAATCTTTTCACGCAGTTTTCTTTGTCCATTCAATATTTCGACTTTCAGATAATTCTGACGTTTTTGCCGGTCCCATGAGATCCAAATTAACGAGGTTTTACTGTATTTAGTAGTGATCCAATTCAAATGAAATTTCCCTAGCACATCTGTATTTACATTTCAATTAGAAATATGTACTCAGCTTTAATATATGGTTTAATTAGCTTGGACACCATTAAACATTTCATCCAAAAAGATTGTGGCCAAGATTAAAAAAATTTTAAATACGGAAATAAGAAAATAAACATATCTCAGTAAACTAGGTCTACAGAATCCATTAAGATATAAATGAAAAGTCTACGATAATTGAAGGGTTTTAATGACACCTTGAAATTTATTTAGTTTTGAAATTATCATGGGAATGTTTGAGGCATATAAAAAAAATTAACATAAACATATTTATAAGCATATTTATACTCCTTATTGAATATCTCGGTTATACTTCTACCAGGGAAAAAAAAAAAAAGAAAAAATATTGGTTGCATACAGTTTGAGGTATAGCTTTCATAAAATATCAAACTGCATAAAACTGCACAAACTGCACTACGGAATAACAAGAAAAACATCCATAGACCCAGTTTACTTCACTTTCAATGAAATATTTTAAAATAAATAGAACTTATTTCACAAAATTGCTCAAGGAAAAAATGAAAACCACCTGCAGATCCTCAAAAACAAAATTGGAAAAACTGTGATTTTTTTCACATTAAATTATGTCAAAGAGCAGTGTACCCCCCTCAGATATGACTAATGCCCTCAACAAGTCATGGGGTGCAATAAGTAAATTAATTAACTAAGGGTTCAGACTAAATCTAAAATTAACAAGTATCTGGATGCAATGTATCCCTAGCGCAAAAAGAGCTTCAGGGGCCCAAAAAGTCTGTGGCTACCTAGTTCAATGCAGAGCTGGTAAAGTGCAAAAAATGGAATAAACTTCAAAAGGCAAAAAAGCTTGAGCAAGTGAGAGCTCACCTTTGTGAACAGAACGAGAGGAGGTTTCCTCACAAAAATGGGCAGGTTTGGGTCAATGACAGAGACAAAAGAGGCAAAGTGTAAGCAAAGCACCATTTCTGGCAAATCTAATCTCAACTTTGCCCAAACCCCAAACCAACATAGTAGCTGAAGCTGCAAATTCCTCTGCCCGGAGGCAGTGTTCTAAAATTGGCAGAAGCAGTGTCAAAGGTCACCCCAACCACCTCTTGCTTGGCGAGCAGTCAAGACCGAAGGACAGCGATCAATTTGGAGGACAAACGCTTCGTGACTTGTGCTTGTGCAGGTTCCTTCAACGGAGCAAACCAAAGGATCCCTTCAGATGTCTAAGCGAACAAAGAAAGGCTTTGAACATGGTTCACAGCTCACACTAGGTTCACAAAACAACCCAGGAATCTCCAAGTAGATTGGAACACCTTGTTGATTTGATCCCACATAACGTGTTTTTCAATATAATAGTATATACTCTTTTTTTGTTTTGTTTTGTTCCCGTCCAACGTTTTATAGGAGCAATGCATTTTGATAGAGCAAATATGACAATATTTTTTCCCGCATATCTAGATACACTGGTGAGAGAAGACTTTCTGTGCAAACTGAAACAGAATTCTGTTACCTCCTTCCTACAAGAATCCCAGCAAGGAACCAAGAAAACTGAGCTCAACGATGTTTTGCCAACAGACTTCTTTGCAAAAAGTCTGAGTTCCTGCAAGGACTTGCATCTGAGGTAAAAATTAAAAGACCTTTTACACATCCGTGTGTACTAGCAGAATGAGTGTTTTATCTATCAGCTGAAATCTAGTCCCCATGCAAATTTACAATTGCATGCTTCTCATCCTGCTGCTTCCTCAGAGCATAAGGAAAAATCAATTCATCTGGGTTGAGCTGGATTATAGAAGTAGATGCAGCTAGATGCAACCATTACCAGTTCCATAATCCTGCTCAAGTTGGACGGCCGATTTCCACTCAGGAATACACACCACAACAATCAGAAGCTCTCCTCCCCAAAGAAGAAACATGGGCATATTTTTTTCCTGGGATAATTTTTTTTCCCAGCACATATGAAGCTTACACCTCGTTTTCTCAAATCCATCATTAAAATCACAAAATCTATACCAACTGAGTTAGCATGCTTGCTAGGTTTTCTAACCCCCACCCAAGTTTCTTGAAGCTCGACATACAACCTATTCTACTTGCAGGGATCTGTTTTAGACCCACTGGACTTGGGTGAGAGGGGACAGAGAAAAGGCCACAAGGGGCCAGCTTTCGACCCGGTGGGAAACACTTTTGATGCTGAGCGACAACCAAACCTCGGCTTGTCCCCAGTCCTCAAAGTAGGTGAAGGCATGGCACGTCAGCACGCCAAATGATGCACACGACCCACTTCCCTCTAGGCTGCACTCAACCCCACGACTGCAGAACCACCACCACTCACCTGACGCAAGACTGCTTCTGTCGGGTCAGGGTGGACGTAGCTGAACTGGGAACATCATCGTTCGAAATGCAAATTAGGTCGGGTCGTTTGGAATGACGCATCTTGGGAGAGGCGGCAGGCGTGTCCACGGGAGAGTTCTCGTCACTTGTGGTCACGTGGTCCGACGCCACTTCCCGGTATTCTAGAAAAAGGGACGCCCGCGCTTTAAAACGCCACACCCTTTAGCTGTCTGGGTAAAAGCCCTTTGTACAACAAATGCTGCACATAGGAAGCGAAAATACCAATGAAAAATGCCAAAAGAACTATTTATTCTTTATGAGAGACATAATGTGCAATAGATGACCTGAGCTTTTATAATAACAATTTACAAAAATTCAATTATTTCAATGTTCCGTAATATTCAGAGAGATGCCCCATCTCCAAAAGATAACCCACACCCCATTTTTGGCCCGATTTTCTATTTGTTACAAAACACCTAAAGATAGACCACTTTTAGTAATTGCAGGGCCCTGGCCAATGGTGAACTAGGCAGAAATGGTGTTACTTAGCCAGGATAGGAAATAAGCGAACATCGCTGATTGGGAAGGGTGGTCGTCTTTGGTTCATCGCCCCTCTCTGCAATCACAAGTTTCGCAGGCCCCAGAATCTAAAACTAGCATTCTTTCAAATTCTTTTGATCGCATGCCAAAAGTCAGCCCACCCCTCATTTTCACCCGATTTGCTTTCGATTTTAGGTGGGCCATCTCTCGGGATATTACGGTATGTGGCAGGTCTCACGGAGCTGCCACTCCGGAGTTGGAATGATTTCGCGGTATCATTTTACACTGACACAACCCCGGAACAAAATGGGAATGGAATTGGACGCCTCTTGCCAGGAACAAAGTTGGAATGGAATGGGCTCAGTTCTTACGTGAGCTGCACTGATCTTCAGCTAGGATCTACGGCTCACTGGCACACCACTATTGCGCGGTCAAAGTGGCTGTCAGAACAATATCATTGCACCTTAGGTGGCAGACGGCTTCCCTGTCTGACCGGCTCATGCTTTTTCGGGGATGGAAGTGGCAAGACCCAGTGAAGCAACCAAAACTGAAAATTTGTAGAGGAACAAAATTTCATTCCTGACACGACAAGACGCGACAAAGCAGCTGCTGTCATCCTGCGCAATTAGCGTGTACCTTTTAACCAAGCAGATATTCTAGTGCTCGAGTAGAAAACAAATAAACAATTGAATATGTACACTGATCTCACCAGGCAGTTCGGCTACACCCCTGCTGTCGCTATGCATCGATGAAACCTTAGTCTATCTGCATACGCGACAACATCGCTGGAGCTCAGTACGTGTACAGCACAAAACGGGGCATGTGCACTGCCACCTGGCACCTGCAAACTAAAGTTATGGCGACTTCACACATGCACCTAGCGCTTAGTGAGGTCAATCTATTGAATATAAAAAATTGCGAGAATCGTACAATGAACGTAAAGCTCTACGTTTTAAGGCAGGTTTCATAATATCATGGAGGAAGAAAGCTTCTGGAGGCAACAAGACGTCACCAAAGGTGAAGCTAGAAGTGTGGAGGGACACGCCCCTAACGATGACCAAAATCAAGAGACGCTATTGGACGAAAAGGAGAACCGACTCAACAGGTGTTTTGATCACCCTCGAGTCCCGAGGGTGGCCAAAACAGCCGTCGAGTCTCTGGAATACAAACAGTCTTTGGAATACAAACAGTAGAGTAGGCCACTTCTATTGCCAAACAACCAGGTTCTGAATTACTTCACGAGCCGTGTCGCTACTCACATCAATGAAGCGTCACACCAACGATCTGTGCAAAAAGGCGGCAAGCACTCACTGTCAGGATTGAACTGCACCAGCATTGTGATGCTGTCCCGACACTGCCGAAGAACGCTGGCTGCCAGTTGGTATGTGGCATTGCGCATGTTTATTCCGCACACCTAGAACAAAAGGCAAAGACATAAACTGCATTAGAGGAAAAAAAAGCAGGACCAAGTTGAAGTTGTTGTAGTACATTGATGTCTCATTAACATGGACCCTACCATTCCCAGAAAAATCATCCATAATAACAATAACAAATCGAAGTCAAGATCACAAATAATAAACAACACGCGTGACCACAAAAAGCACCGCTTATTCAGAATAAAAGCTGCACCTTTCGTGTGTAAAGACGCTTTGGTGCCTGCATTCTTATCTAAATCTGTAAGGTATCTGCTAAATCAATGGTATGTGTCCATGTTCCTAAATGTCCTTCCTGCTCCAGAAAAGCAATGACTTATTACACTTTACACTTGCTGGGGTCTCTGACCGCCTTTGCTTCAAGCCTGACAATCTTACCACCTTCTACGTAGTGAGGGAAGCATCCCGCCTTTAATTTTATGCAAAACTGGTGAAGGTAGCTCATCAATGTTCTTCAGGTTTGGCACCCACAACTGTGACACATATAGGAAGGATAGGGCAAGAGACCCCTTTTGCCGCGAAGCCTACCCCAAAAATCTAACCACTGTTTGGTGCTTGGGTCTTCTCTTTCTCAGGATGGTTAAACAAAGCAACAGAAAATAGAGGAGGTCTGGGTGTGCTCTGAAACACATTATTTTCATTAACCTATATTCTTTCTTTTTTCTTTGCAGGGGGGAGACTGTAAACAGAGGAAAAAGTGTCAAGGCAGAGCGTCCTCCTCCCCCCTCCCCTTCCTCCTGCCCCCATTCACTCTTCACACCAAGCTCTAGTCTTGTGCGAATAGTGGATTTTGAGTCCGAAGCGAATTCGAAGCGAATAGTGGTTTAGGCCGAATATTTTCGATTCGAATATTGAATAGTTTCTCCACGCCTTTCACTACCGTTGTATAATGCTAATACGAAAACCCAGCTAAACCTGTAAAGGTTATTCCACTTTTTCATTCATTAATGCAGTGTGATCTCAGAAGGTTTGGTGTCTTGGGATGGCAAGTAAACGATGGATTTGACATAAAATGAATCCTATATAGATGACAAACTATACCAATTGAGTGAATTTACAAATCTTGATATATCAAATATTCTTTTTTTAATCTCAAGTTAAAAAAGAATGAGTCGCGCATGATGAACACAGGTTGTAGAAGCATCTCTGCCTAACATAGTACACTCTTCGATAAAAGTTTAATTTTGAAACTTTTACTACATTGTAGATATACACATTCACAAAGTTTCCATTTATTTTCAAATACAGTCGGCATGGGTGCACTATCCCGCTTTGAATGTATGTTTTTCTTGAGCACGCAATTACAATATAGTTTATCGCGGCGGGTTACCCCGTTAAGTGCGCTTCTTAGTGAGCACCGATGTAATGCGGAGAAGCAACACCCGCAAAGCTCACTTTTGCGGGTTTTGCTTCTCCGCAGCGCACTGGTGCTTGGTAAGAAGCGCACTCAACGGGGCTAACCCGCCGTAATCAACACTTCGAAAAATGCGAATAGTGCAGTTTTTTTCGAAGCGAATGTCGAATAGTGTATTATTCGGAACTACTATTCGAAATTTCGAATATTCGCACAACCCTACCAAGCTCCCTAGCAAACCCCCCCTCCTCTCCCCCCACCAAAAAAAAAAAAAATGTAATTCTTGGCTACTCCATTGCTAGATATCCACGAGACAAGAATTCCACAAAAGTTTCCCAAGTTTCCCACTAAAACTTTCTAACGATCGCGGTATCTGCAGAGCACCCCATCTGTCAGCATAATTTAGACGCAAATTCAAAAACCGGTATCATTCCCGAGTTCCACGTCAACATCTGCCCCGCATGTGCATACAGCACCCCCCCCCTTTCCGAGAAATGGTCTCTCACCTCAAGCAGCTGGTCTCCGACCTGCAGACCAGCCTGGGCAGCTATGCTGTTCTCCGACACGGAAGACACAAAAATGGTGCCCCCCGCCCCGCACTTGATCTGGATCCCCAGGGGCTCCAGGCTCTTCTCTATCACGATCCGACGCATGTCGCCAGGCTTGGGCCTCCTGGGCACGCAAGGGGTTTCACAAATTGGTGGGGACCTTCACCTCCAAAGTCCTTCAATGCATCGGTTCTCAAACTCTCCCAGATCCCTCAGGCATTTCCCAAGCATCCAAATTTCATTGACCGTCCAAGTAAAGTGTCCCGTCAGTTCTGAGCCACCAACTAATACATAACTGTGTGGCAAACATTCTTTAGCGTGTGCATCATCTTTACAAGGTCAGTAAGTTTCTGCAGAGCCTTTTTGTTCATCAATGCCATGATCAGAAGGAGTTCCTTGGCTGCCATGCCAAAAAGATGGGCGTACCCCGAGAAGACTGCGAACCCCCGCATAACATGTAGATTGCAGAATTCAAGAAGGAATGGTTTGAAGTTGTCTAGAAGACAACGAACAGTCGTATCGGAAGTGAAGAAAAATCTACATTTTTATCAACTTTTTCACCGACTTTAATAGAGAAACCGAACTGGCATATACGGTCATGCAGTGTCAATTTATCCGTTAAATTATAAGTAGGGAAATACACGGACGGAAAATTTTAGATTAGAAAGAACAGTTAAAAAGCGTTCAATAACGTTAATAATATCTGCCCGCATTTCAAGCATAGCCTTAAGTGCCCCAAAGCAGTTCACCATCAGTGTTTGCCTGGGACTTGATCGATGAGGATAGCAGTCCCGACCGAACGCCAACGTGTCTTGTGCCCCGCGATGTCCTCCGGTAGGCGACATACGAAATCCAGCACAACGGCCTTTCATTCCGTGAGGTGTTGAATGTGCCCCCAGAATGACTTTGAGAATGACTTTAATCATTCTCAAAGACTCAATACCTCACCAAAGACTCAATACATTTAGGCACTGAAGAGTTAGAACACTCAAAAGACATCTCAGAAGTTTGACTACAGCACAGTCTGTGTGCCTTTATAGTTCTTCATAAAGAACACCTAGTTATTAGTTTTGGAACCCTGCAGCAGAAAGAGGGCAAATAGTGAAAAATTTTCTTTCTCCTAACACTCCTCCTCTGTCAGTTTTCACGGTTTCTACGACTTGCCGTCAGACAAATGTCGAGGAGACAGCGAACAAGTGTTCCCACAAAGTGGCTCCGTTGCAACAATACCAAAGCTGGGAATTTTCGAGGCGACTACGGCAGACAGCGTTAAGACGCCAACGAGGCTTGCCCACCTCCTGCCCCTGAGCTCCGTGATGGCCCTGGACCCGTTCGGGGTGAGCAGCTCCACGGTGAAGGCGGGCATGGGGCTGGAGCGGTCCGTGAGCGAGGGCGCTTTCTCGATGGAGCTCGTGGACACCTTCCCCGTCGACGACTTGGAGGTCACGCTGGGCGTCGAGGGGATGCGGATGCGCTGGTTCCGCTTGGGGAACGTCGCCAGGCCGTCGTAAGCCGCCGGCTGGGGGTACACCTCCTCCGCCCGGAACCCGCCTCCGCCGTGCACGTGGGCAGGCACCAGCCGCTTGGGTGCCGCAAACTGCGGCGGGAAGTCCAGGCTGTGCGTCGGGGAGGTGCCCGAGAAGGAGTACTGCGAGGGACACGGCGAGGGCGTGTACCGGCCCGGATCCTTGGGGGGCACCGTGCCGTAGCGCAGCGCCTCTCCCGCCGCATCGCCCGCCAGCAGCGAGTCCCCGCTGCGCGAGATGTACGCGGGGTAGTAGCCGTGCTGGTGCGGGCGCTGCTGCGGGTACAGCGCGGTTCCCGCGGGGGCGCCCCGCAGGCTCTGGTGCACGTGGGTCGCCAGGAGCACCTCCGAGTAAGGCGCCATCGGCTTGGCGTAAGCCTCGCGGCTGTAGTGGGCCGAATGTGGCCGGCCGCCGCCCCCCTTGTTCCCCCGCGGCTGGTACATCTCCAGCACGTCCTTGTGGGCCGAGACGACCGAGTAGTCCAGGCGGTCTTCGGGCGGCGGGCCCGACGGGGACGCGTAGTGCATCGGCACCCGCTCCGAACTCTGCTGGACTCCCGACGGGGGAGCCTTGGGGGGGCTGCCGGGAGACGCGTACGAGCCCGAGCTCGAGGTGCGGTTCCCGCTCGACGGCGAGCTCGCGTCGCCGCCCGGGAAGTCGGCGTACGACGGCGCCTGCCTGGCGAACGAGGCGAGGGACTTGCGCTCCCGGCGCTTGTGAGGCTGGAGCGTGTTTGCCGTTCCGGCCTCTCCGAGCTGGAGCGGGGGTCCCCGGTACTTGGGCCACGTGCCTCCATTGTGCTCCTGGTGCTTGTGGCTCGAGGAGCGCTTGGAGCCGCTGCTCGGCTTGCTGTAGCACTCGAGCATCGAGTCCAGCTCCGCGATGGGGCCGCGCTCATCCGGGAGCAGAGAGAGGGGCGCCTTCTTCTCCTTGGAGGTCCGCTTGTCGCCGAAGATCTTGTTGTAGGCCTTGTCCAGGAGAGTGGGCTGCACGCTCGCTGTGGCTCTCTCCGACGTCGAGCCCCCTCCCTTGCCCCCTTGGTTGCTCGAGGACGTTTTGTTGTGGACGCCGCTGTTCTCAGAAAGGGCATCGGTTTGCACGGAGCACGACGCGAACGTCTTCTCTTCGAGGAGCTGTGGAGGTGGACCTGAGAAGAGAGTACCAAGGACGTGAGCGGTGACGAGGCACAGACAACCCAATCGGTGGTACACACAGACCCAAACTGAACACTTTAGCATTACAACTACCCAAAAGTAGCAACTTCTCATTGTCGTGGGAAAGTGATCAAAACTATGCAGTCAAAGTGGTTGTAAGGAGGGAAATGGCGTTTTATGAAACTGGATACTGACCGTGGTTTAATGGAGACTTTTCTAGTTTGTCCATGAAGGTGTGGTTGCTTGTAGTGGAGCTGGAAGGTGAGCTGCTAAAGACAGCATTTTTCACAACCTGGAGCTGAACTGGACAGTCGGCATTGTCCAAGCATTCCATCGCCTTCCTGAGATCTTCAACCGGCTTTCCATTCATCTGAAACCAAATCAAGCCCATTTAAATATTAAAACTCTCTCGTTCATAATAATAAGCTAACATTCAAGCCTATAAAGCTCGTAAATGCTTTCTCCATAGGAAGACAACTGTTTTCAGCTCGCAACCATAATACATGGCTGCCAGGATAGAATAAAGCTAACTAGCACGAGAGCTGGAAAGCACTACGTCCAGTGAGAACTAAATGAAGTACATATTGCAGTTGCTTCGTGTTTATAGAAAAGGGCACAAGCACCGCCGAGCTTGAATTTAAATGAGAGAGGTCAATCCACCAAGCTCCCGAGCAATGGGGACATCTGCACACCTCTACATATTTTGCACCCATTTCATGTTTCTCAATGGAGCTTCGAAATCAATGCCGGTGGCACAGGTGAAACTAGATTATGCATAATCCATGAAGAGTTTCCTATGCCATACTGTTTCAACTTTAAACATGCTCAGCCTGTCATCGTCATTTTTTTATCTTAATGCCCATCTTCGCTACAACTGATTTATACAAGGACTTTTTTTCCCCCAGAACCGTTGATTACTGGAGTAAACTACCTAGCGAAAACTTTGAAACAGAGAGCACGCTCCTGTTTTATACAGTCGACCCTCGGTAATTCAATCGCTTTACTCTAACTTTCGGTTAATTCGAAGAAGAGGAAAAAACTGCACAGTAACTTGAAGTTTAACTTCTGGGACTGGCCTGTTTGAAATACTTTTTTTTATATGCTCAAGAGGTCCAGCAACTCTGGGAGCACGAAAAAGCCCTGCGATTATGCTGATCAAGCTTAAATCGCACTTGTGCACACACACTTTATCGCTTTTATTTACTTTGTGCATGGTCGAGAAAAAGAGGGACCGAGCGCAGAGCGTGAACAAGCCACCAGGAGGCCCTGCCAATTAAGCGGTCAAGCCACGCCAAGCCAAGCCAGCTTGGCTGCAGGCATTGGCGTCATATCCACGGAAGTTACAGAAGCATGCACGGTTGCATGGTGCGTACGGCCAACAAAGCTTGGTACAGTGGAACCACCAATATACGACTTTGGCGGAATCGCGCGAAATCGTTGTATAATCCGCGAGTCGTATCATCCGAAAAAGCTATATTTTTGGATACAGTGATCAGCCTCGCGCAAAAAAGAGAAGCGGAGGTTTAAGATTATGTCTAAGCTAATAATCTGCTGCACTTTGTGACGAAGCAAAAACTGTCAGAACAAACTGAAACAAAACCATAAAATTGTGCTGTAAAGGTGCCGGCGTACACAGTCGCAACGATGGGATCCTTGTCGCTTTTCACGCTTCCCGAAAGCGGGAACCAGCGGAAGCCAGCAGAAGTGTGCTCAGTCCTGGGAGAAGCAGCGAGTTCGAGAAAGAGGCACACAGAGGAGCGCAAGGGTAAACGAGAGACGAGAGAATGATGGGATGAGCAGAGCAAGGATGGCAACCCGGGGAGAGGAGAAAGCGCTGTCACATGCTCCCTCCCGGCGCAACGGCTGTCTTGGGTTGCCGGCAGTGTGTTTTTGGATCCTCTGAAATGGCGCGCGGAGCTCTTTCGCGTTGTCGTGCCGCCGCCCCCCTCTTCATACAGCCGTCAAATTCGTTGTGCGTTTCCAGCCAGAACGTTGTATGATACGCGACGCGCAGAATCACGCATAGCGTAAACCAAACTTTAATACATTATTTCTATGGGGTGTTCATTGGAACCGGGCGAATTGGTCGTAAAATGCTGGATGTCGCATAAACTGGGGACGCATAATCGAGGTCCCACTGTATGAGGTATTACCCAGTCCCGTGAAATGTTTTGTTCATTGAATATATTGATGTCAGCAAATGTGCAGTGGTTCATAGTTTGCTTTTGGACAGTGAAATCGTACAACTGGTTAGGCCTAGGAACGATCACATTGCTTCTCATGCCAGGCCACTGAAACTACCTGTGGCACCATGAAGTACAATTTAGCGTTTTCTTTGGCAAAAAAACTGCTGAAGGCACTCTAAGAAAGGCTCGCAATTTCCAGAGCATAGCTAATACTGCGTGTCTCCGTTGGAATGAAATACAAAGAGTTTGAGAGCATTTTTTTTAAATTCCACGCATGTTTATTTTAAGCATTTTGCTGTCCCTGTCAGCTTCGAATTAGAGATGAAAGTAAACCAAAACCACTTCAAGGTCATATTAACATTATATTATTGTTGCCGTTGCTGCAGCATCAACTATTTGTGGCGTGATCCGGGTGTTTCATTAGTCTGTGTTATGTTACGACATTCCTCCCTAGCTCATATGTTTAGGGCTTGCTCTGCACACACCCCTACATGCAACCCCTGTTGTAAAAAATGGTGCTGTCACTTGTACGCGCCGTGTTCCACACATTAATTGCTGTTAACAAACTGTCGTGCTTTTTCACTGTTACTGCCTTATTAAGTGTGTGAAAACCCTCCTGACTGAACCCCTGTGGGACCTGAAGTATCGTTAAAGGGTAACTGCAAAGAAAAAAAAGTGTATTTTCAAACAGCCTAATTGGGACAAGCATGTCACAAAACAAATTTTCTGCCAAAAACGAATTTTTTTCCAGCAATATTTATTGCGCGAGACTGACTTTAGTTTGTGGCTATTTCGTCCGTTTTAAATCGTGCGCCACAAAGTTGGTATTTTATGTCACGGAGTAGCTGCTATACGTCACGGAGTGACGTATTCCAGCTACTTTGTGCGTGTCAAAAGAGCGGGAGTTTCAAATGTGGAAAAGTTGTGACTCCGATTAAATTACGTCCTGCGGCGTAAATATTAATTGCTAGAAAAAAATTGTTTTTTCGAGGAAGATTTGGTTTGTGACATGCTTGTCCTAAATAGGCTGTTTAAAAAAACACTTTTTTTTTTGCAGTTACCCTTTAAATAAATAAACAAGCTGACAGAAGCACACTGCTTCGAGTCGACGTTCGCAAATTGTGCAACGCGGGAGTATGAAAGGGCCGCGGTACCGAGAGGATCCTGTCTCCGACGGCCAGGGTCCCCTCTCTGGCGGCCACAGAGCCCGGCCCGATGCGGGTGATGTAGAGGCCGTTCTCCAGCGTGAGGCCATGCTCCCGAGAAGTGCTCAGGTTCAGGCTGAGCATCACCACTCCCCGACTGCTCATGGCCCTCCTGCGTTTCACAACCTGCAAGCAGAGCCAAACGCAACGAACGCTGAAGCGTAGCAGCGCATGACTTTGATAAGGGCTCCATCTGGACGTGTTTTGGGAGACTGTAGATCCAGAAGAAAACATCTATCATTCTTCGTAGCTACAAGAGACCCGAAAAAGAACATGGAGCGACATATATCGGACAACGCACAAGAGACAGGCCATCAGACAAGAGATCCCTCCCACCAGCCTCAAAGATATGAAAGCCACTTCGATTGTGGTATCTCTTGCTATGGGCTATCATCAATACCCGCGTGTAAGATGCTGCGCACCACTGGAATAATTCTTTCGGTGAGCGTTAAATGATGGGAAGTAAAATTTTCTCCACTTATCAGTGAAAGTTCAATGACAGTTGTTTAAAAGAAGAGATTACGCAATTGTACGCTATAACTAAGAGACTATGCGAAAAGCTCAGAAATCGGGAATTACCCCGCTGCTCACCAAGGTCAAAGATCCTTTAGAGTCGTGCACCGACTCATACAGGGCCCGCTTGTCCATCCCTGCCACGTCGAGACCGTTGACTTTCAAGACAATGTCATTAACGCTGGAAAGCAACGAAAAAGGTCGCACCATTAATGGAGAAAACTGTTATCAGCGATTTTGTGGCTTGCAGAATAAACATTCACGAAACTAACCTAGCACGTATGCTATTAAAAAATGCAATGCAGTAATCTTTGCAATTCGTCGATTCAAGAGGGAGTATGCAAGAATTTCTAGATTCCAAACAAATAAGTGCCTAAAACCAACATTCTGACGTTCATTTGCTCACCAAGAAAATTAATCAATTTGCAAGTTAATTGTTAAGACAAAAAAAAGCGGTATAAATTTGATTATGAGAATATCCTCAACGAATAGCAGTGAAGATCAACAACATGTACAGTCTTTACGTCGTTCCTATACACGGAAACAGATTTCTACGGCATTTCGGAGGAGGTGAGAGCGTGCAGACTGGCATTCAAGGTAGGCAAGGGCAAACGTATCACATCTGTGACAGCCCTGCCACAGAGGGTAGTCCTTGACTGTAGGCACGATCGAGCTTAGAAGCACGGAATCACGACCCACCAAAGCTTTCCGTCTGCCGTCCCTCCCTTGAGGACATTGCTGATGTAGAAAAATGATGCAGAGGACTCCGACACGTCCTCCTTGCCTCCCGAAATGTCCAGGCCGAGATCACCTTCGTATCTCTGCAAGACGTGCAAGGTTCAACTGGTCAAGAGGTGCAGCAGCCACTTTCCATTCAATTGTCAGGAACTTTTCAATATCATGAGCAACACCCAACAGTCCAGTGAGAGGATGCGTATAGTTAGGCGAGTCCTTTTTTGCACTGTTCTATTTATTCTGGACATGTAACGTTCGTTGGTGGATGACCCCATTCCAGTTCACCGACATAATTTTGTATGGCGTCTTCTTTACAACGAAAGCTTCGTCACGCATTGTTAATTTGAATTTCTAGATAATATGAACTAACTGCCATGGTCCGACCCTGCTACGCAGGCGTCCTTCTATAAAATGCCCGTAAATTCGCTTGCGAATCAACTTCGCCAAAGATAGGTCCTACTTTTAAGTTCTAACAAAGTTTTTCTCCGTCATGCATACATATTGTAATATGCCGAGTAATCGGCAACCCCCCGCCTGAAATTCCTAAAAAAAAGTAGTGTGCACCATGTCTCGGTGGGTAAGCACGAAAAGTTTAAAAAAGCTAAAAAAAAACAACAAATTTTTCTGCACATATCTAGCACGGCTGCGCAAGAGCTAGATAAAACTCAAATTAGTTTCATTGTTTTGCCGATCAGCATACAGCGCCAATGTTTGTTCTGTGAAAGCATTTTTCTAACACTGCTATGTTTTCTTGGTAAAAAAAAAAAAAAGAGTCGGCAAGAAAATATAAAAACCAACCAGGCGCAACAGTTAGCAAGCGGGAGAAAAGAGCAGTGAAGACTAACGCTGGGGAAGCAGGAAAACTGGCAATCACATTGGCAGATAGTTTGGCATCGGGCCAAGTTGGGCATCTTATCAATCACAAGGTGCTCAACTCTCTTGTGAAACTTTCTTGTTTGGAGCATATATCTGTGCATCTATGTGCAGCGTGCTATCAATGCAGGTTCAGGCGGCATTGTGCATGGCAGGGATGGTACCACAAACACGGAGCTCGAAATGGGATGCTTTACAAATGCCTGTGCGTGGCGTTCCAGCAAACCTTTACTTTTCGCCGAGGTGCATGCATGCTACATGCGTTGCACGTGCTGGCGTCTGCAGTAGTAAATGTTTTAAAGCAAAAAGTCTAAGACAAATTTTGCTGCGCACACACGTTCGTCAAAGCCTTATTATGATTGTTTACTTCGAATCCTTTATAAGAGGAAGGCCAGCGTGCGCGGACCGTAGAATTACACTTCTAGCGTTTTCCTCTGTGCTTTTGTGTGCTACCAATACCCGGCCGATTGAGTCAAGGCAATCCACTTTCCAAAGATGTTGCCATGCCGACAATTATCGTATTCATTTAGGCTTAGGAATGGTCAGAATTGAAAGACTATCTAAAAAATGTGGCGAGGTCATTGCTCATGCTTTGCGATTTAGGTGAGGTAAGGCAAAGCGAAAGCCTCCTGCACCATTCGTTGCTGACTAACGTGCCCAATATTGCAGCTACAACAACATATTAGTTTTAAAGCGAGCAGCGCTCACTTATTGGGGCACCGCCCATGTTTCACCGCATCCCTACCGAGCCAGTCACGTGATTTCAAAATCCCTCTCCTAGGTACTGCGGCTAACTTTAGCCGCGGTTAGTGCTTCGAGCAAACGGGCCCTGGTGGTGCTCCAGTCTTTGGCGTCTTAGAGAACTTCTGGTTTATAAACATAACGAACAAAGGCCACCTTAACATTGCTGCTTGAAATGTAGGTGAAATGTTTAACCACCAGTCCTCCAGGTGAACGCCAAAAGAATGAAGGAGTGCGAGATCTGTTAAAATGTTTAGAGTATTCTTGAAAACCAACCTGTCTCCTCCAAGATGTAATATTGTACAGCCGAAGGCCCTCAATAAATTTCCAACTTTGTAATCAGTATAGCATTTATGCTTTCTAGCACAGGTGACATTAGAAAGCTCAACAGGCTTGCAATGATGGTGCGACCGGAAGTCGCTTGGGACTCAAGCAGCAGTTCCTGTTCGTAAACAGCAAAAAGGTCTATACCAGATTATTGACAAAAAAAAAGTAAATGCACTGTACCAAAACTTTTTTTATATATGAAAGACTTTCTATGCTGCCGTCGCCACAACAGCTTATGCAACCACAATCTTTACAGAGAAACGCATGCAAAAAGCGCTATGTGCTTATCATCTATCATGTGGTTTTTATACTTGTTTTGTAGTTTTCTTTTTGAAACAAGTGTCAAAACCATATGATAAGAGATAAGGCGCACAAATGGTGATAAGGTGCGCATTATGGTTTTCTCTGGACTATTCCGTCGACTACTGTTCTGTCGACAGACACGAAAAAACCCGACCAGTGTCCCATACAAGTTCGCTGTAAAAATTCCCGTCAAAACGAAAAGTCAGCACAAACGTCTCGACGCCACTGTTTCAGGAAAACTCGTTAGCTCACTTGCGACCCAGAAGACACAGCGAAGTGACCGGAAAACCCAGAAGACACACAGAAGGACAGAGAGGGTGGACTCACGAGATGCACTTCCTTGATCTCAGTCTCCCACTCCTGGAGGTCCGTGTCGATGGCCGAGTCCCTGCTGTGATTATTGCCCACGGAGTTTAGCTGCTTCATCCTAGATTCCTTCTCCAGCTGTGCCTCGATTTTTTCCCTGCACAGAATGGCACAAGTGTGAGAGAGTCGCGGCGCAAAAACTGTGGTCACCAAAGAGACGAGGACGTCCCGCCTCCAGCGCGCGCTTTCTAACTTTGAAGACACTTCGGCAGCCAGTGAGCCTCAAGCGTGCATGTGCTGCCACTCCCATCCTGCCGGTAACTGTTGGCAACTCCACCGAAATCAACGCCGCATAGCGGCTATGCCGAGAAACTCAAGAGAGGAAGTCGTTTCGACTCTGTCGTCTTCTATCGCTGCTTGGTTCTCGTAGGCAGTATAGAAACAAACATTGTTTCCAATAATTATTTTTCTACTTCCACCGTGTCATTCCTATGCACTTACCAGAAGAAGGTTTTTACCGTCGAAAAACTGCTTTCATATATAACAACGATTTCCCGCTGCAGTGCAAGAAATTTATGGTGGTTCGTGTGCTAAATGATGAAAACGACCTCCTTTCGTCCACCATTTTGCCTGACCAGCGCTCCCCTTATAATTCGCTGGAGTCGCAAATAGACCTTTGCGAAAAAAGATATCTGGCCACCGCCATTTTGCAGCTCGAGCGACCCCTATCGGCCATAAATTTCTGCCACCCGCCTATGCCATGGAAACCTGGTCAGCGCAACTCCCCACCAGCATTGTGCACTCCGAGTTTGCCGGCTTTTCTTGAGAGTTTTTAGTACTTCATTTGCCCGTTCAGGATGCTTACCTCTTTTGTTTTATATTTCACTGTGAGAAGCAGGGAATACCAGTGCTCGTAGCCTACTCGGCCTTGGCAGGAAACGAACAAAAAAAGCAAATGTCAATCACCCTGCGACGCGGACCGTTCAACGTTCTTCAAGGATTATTTTCGTCGAGATAATCTCAGAAAAACCTTCCCAACTATGTTCCCTGTCTTTGTGAAAAATAGCTGACAGGGTCGGGTTTGTTCATTTGGTTTGGCTCTGTGCAAAAAAAGAAGCTCTCTTCAAAACATACCCCAGAACAAACTGGATTCCATCAAATCGTCACGAAGTGACCATCGTCGATACTGTGTTGGATATACTGTTATTTGAGACCTTTTTTCAAATCCTGTTTGGATAACGCAGCACCATGGGGTACATACAGTATATAGTGTTTGATCGATAAGGCTTATTGAATCTCATATTGAGAGCGAAGAATACCCATGCAGTTCGGCTATCCTGTGTGGTCAAATATTTTCGACAGTCAAGACCTTTGTAAATCGACACAGCTGAGTGGATAGTGCCATAAAAATATCAACATAAAATAAAACAAACATTCCAGTTGCACTTGTTCTATAGCGTACAAACTAGCCAAAAATAGCTTTCATTCGTTTGTTTTTGCTTCCAAAACTGGCACAATGCTTTCTTAAAGACCTCAAGAAATTCTATTCACCATAGAATAAAAAAAAACAAAAAAACATGGCAATTTATTTGCCACCAGCGTCCAGAATCGCACCTACGCAGGTTGCCACAGCCCAGCGCAGTTGGGCAACACTGACGTACACTCTCAAAAACAAGGATGCCTGCTGCAAATCGCTTCGTTCGAGATTTCCGCTGGAAAGGTCTATAGAATGAGTAATTTACTGAATTCACAAGAGTGACGTGAATGGAAGTAACTTTCTATAGTACAGTGCTAAAGGAAGGTGCTGCTAGGAAAGGCAGACCTAAATTCTATTGTATGTACTGTATTTATACGAATGTATAGGTCGACCCTTTTTTCAATTTTTGAAAATCTGAAGACGAGGGGGGGGGGGGGTCAACTTATAATCGAACCAAAGCATTCTACCGCCGGAAAAAACGAAACAATTGCGATATCATGAACACCTCGACTTGTTACGAGTTCAGCCGGCTGTACCTCTAGCAACTGCGCTAATCTGTGCGCTCATTTTACAATTTTTTTTTTTTTTCTTTGCGCGAACGAGTATAATTGATAGCGATTCGCAGATTAACCCCGAATATAAGGCGGCGAACAGCGCACAACGCGCCCAACTTCCGGGAGTGGCGGCACCTCTTGTAAGAGCAACTCCGGAGGCCGCTGGAACAGCCTCACGGCTCACTCCCCACGGCGTCTTATCGCAGTTTTTCGAGCAAATCACGGTCGCACGTTGTTCGATCAAGTGTTGAGGTAACGCTAGAGTAATAGCTATGTTTTTTTGCATTGACATCCGTGATCCAGGTAGTTTAGGTTTTCGGTGCTCGTTTATGGCCATTCTACACCCAGAAGCAAAAAACAACTCCGCTGTTGGACGCAAGTTCGACCCATCGGAACGGGCGCTGCTCCAGCAAGGTCATGCAATGGCGCAGGACCTTGAACTGTGACAGCAAACAAAGAGGCCTTCACAAGCCAAAATCTGGATAGCTGGGGATGCCTTCCGGAGTTGGAAGTCAGGCTTGCAACGCGCGCCGCAAAAGTGCGCAATCGGTCCCTACTTGTGACACACAACACGATCGCCGAGCAAGTGCGGAAGATGAGGTCGATGCTCTCATTTACGAAGTGCGAAATTTCGTTGGACGACACAGATGACGTGCTTCGAGAACGTAGCAGTGATGACGATGGGACAGACATCAGCAGTGTGGACGAGTCGTAGTCCAGTCGCAGACGGAGTGAGAACGGCAGAGGGAGCAGCTTCAGTTGTCCCGCATCCAGTGTACACTTCCTAGCTTCGATAATGCCTAGGCATCTCATGCCCCTCATGTGTACATGCGCAGCCAAAGCACACAAGAAAGCATAGATCGCGTGTTGAAGGCTGGGTTTTCGAAAGAGGTACTTTGCCATTCTCACGTGTTAACAATAAAATGTGCACTTAAAGATGTTTTTTTTTGTTTTTTTTTGCTGATGTGCATGGGGGAGGGGGGGGGGGGGGGGTGTCGACTTACAATTGTGTAAATATGGTAGCTCTCTTATTCACTTCTTCCTTCACTCATGTCTTCATTTGTTGACAAAGTGCTAAAGAAAGCTAATCTTAGGTCATCAGATATGTCTCACAACAAGTTGTTGTGATCATCACAGTGTGGTGGCTCACTTACTGCCCGAGGAAGACCGATTTGACAGTGCGGAAGGAGTATTATGAATCCAGATACGAGTACTTCATAGGCTGCAAAGTCTCACTAGTCGTAGCAGCAATGAAAGCACCGAGCTTTTATCTCGACGCTTTTGTTGCTAACCTGTGCTTTGGCCCGACGTCGGAACAAGTTAAAAGAAATTACAGTAGGCTTGCGATAATTCAAACTCAGATATTTCATACTTCCGATTAATTCAAATAGAATTGAAATATTTTTTTTGTCCCACTGTGTTTTTAGTGTATTTATAAGCCACTTAATTCGAACGGTGTTTTCGCTTAATTCATACTTTCTGCTCTCGCGGCCCCGTTTAGTACGCTTCTTTCTGAGCACTGGTGCAGTGCAGAGAAGCAACACCTGCGAAGTGAGCTTCCGCGGGTGTTGCTTCTCCGCGGTGCACTGATGCTCGGTAAGAAGCGCACTCAATGGGGCTCAAGCGGGCACACATGAGCTCTAAAAGGGCACCTCACAAACATTTCCACAGAAACTTGCACGTACACTGTGACGTGGCGGCATGGCATAGGTCCACGTCGCAGCGTCCACGCAAGTTGCTATGAAAACTGCCAAAGAAGCCAGTTTTCATTGCTCATGTGTTCCCTGCTTAATAGACCACGTTAGACAACCTCTTGGCCTGATGAGCAAAGTTAATTATGCTTTGAGTTGTGATCTGCTGTCTAAATAGTCCACGACAAACAACATTTTTAAGGGATAAATAAACTTGTCATGCATTTCACAAATGTCTTATGTATGGCATACCTGCTTATGATAAGGAGTCCCTACGAGAGGAAATCCTCAAATATCTGCTTTGTATGTGTAGTCATTCATATGACATACATAATTTTATCTTGCATCATATTAAGATGAACTTCTGATAATTCCAACTTGCGATAATTTAAACAAAATTCGTGGCTTCTTGAAGTTCAAATTAATGAGTCTACTGTATTCCCGTATCCTCGCAATACCCGACGTACACTAAATGCGTATTACGGACTGTAGTCCGAACATGGTGTTCTGGACATCCAGAGAGACTAAGTTCAGTTATTTCACCAATGTGTTATGCTTGTACTTGCTTATAATTACGCCGATATAGAGGAAACTGGCAAAAATCTGCTTTGTATATGTAGCTATCCATATAACAAATCATAATGTTGTTTAGTATCATATTTAGATAAATTTCTGATAATTCAAACTTCTGATAATTCAGACTAAAATCTGTGACTTCCTGAAGTTTGAATTAATCAGAGTCTACTGTACGAATAGGCTATGACAACAATAATCTCGGCTACAATTAGACTACTAGGAGACAATTAGTACAACAAAAAAACTACAGACTTCCAATTTTCACAGAACTCAGAGAAATATCACTTACATAAGAGGAACTGATAGGCTCAAACTGCCTCAGAGAAAACTTCTCCAAGTCCAAGTAGGACAGGAAAATCACTATTTTTACGAAGCCAACCCCGCGGAAGATGTGAAAGCACAATTGCTTCCAGTGCCACTTCCTACTTTCTTTTCTTGTCCAAGATGCAGCGAGCCTGCATCTTGGACAAGTGGACCGTGTCACGCACACAAAGGGAGAAACTATGACATTGCACGTGCGCATTACAGCGTTTGAAGAAAGGCAGTGGCTCAGCATCGCACACATATAATATTTACTCCATTGTAGAAAGGCCCTCAATTCTAGCACACACCCTGTCTTTATACCCGAGGATAATGATTCTAACATTCGTTTCTTACCCGATTGTAATGCACAGGCAGTTTTTAGGTTCTATATCTTTCCAACGAAAGGTGCACATTACAATCGGGTAAGTAGAGTATATTCGTGCGGATGAAACCCCTACAGTCTCCGAGAGCCTAAGAAATGCAGCTCACGCTTCTTAGTTCCCGATTCATTCTCTGGCGTTCTTATCAACTCACGCTGCAACCGGGCATTTTTTAAGTTGTCAGCGACCAAAGACACTGAATCTGGTGGCTCACTTAAGCTCCTTGAGTTCCTTGGACGCCTCGTTGCGCTGGCGCTTGACGTCGTCCGAGTCCCTCAGGGCTTCGGCCAGGTCGCTGACAGCCCGATCCCGCTCGCGCCGCAGCTTGTCGCACAGGCTGCGGATGCTCTCCCGCTCCAGGACAATCTTGTCCCGCTCGCTGAATGCCCAGTCCCTGCGGCGCTTGCACACTTCGGCCTCCTGCTGGGCCTCTGCACCGGGGAGAGGAACACACGCCCAGATGTGAGAGCCGGATCTCCGACAGCAGGCACCCAAAAGCGAACCTAGAAGATCTGAGCCATCCCTCGGCACACGACTATAGGGCAAATGTCCCCTAGTGCGCGCATCACTTCTTACGAGGTCCGTAAACTCCCGCGGTGCTTCGCTGCATCGATGCCCAGACTGGGAGGGGTTCCTCGGCTGCCATTCAAGGCAAGGTTCCTCGAGTAGAGGAGTTTGAGAACCCCTTACCTAAAAGACAAGACCTTTCCTCCTCCAATATCATCACTAGCGCAACCACGCAGCACTGCAGAGCTCGCGTCCACGTCGCTGCGAGCACATCTTGGAGCGGCACGCAACAGGCATGAAGTACCGAGACCGGTGCTACGGTGTCTGGAACGCGTCTCGGACGGGTGCGCTTACCCCATCCATAAAAGTGGTCCCCCACTTTCCGCCCGATGACCTCCTAGAAGCGTCGTGCTGCCGGATGTGGCAGACACCCGTTCTGGTGTGCGTCGTCCTCCCACTCGACGGTCCACGAAAGCTTCGACAACCAGGAGTTGGGAAGCCGCGACAGCAGCGACACTCACATTCGTTCGTACTTTTCTCCGGCACTTTTACAACCAACCACCAGGGATTGTGATGTCCGACGGCACGACGCCCCGAGTTTTGTGACGTCATCTGTTGCTACGTGGGGACCACTTTCAATGCATCGGCAGAAACACGCTGGTTGGAGAAGTAATCCAGGCACAGTAACAGAGCTCACACAGTGCCGACCTTGCACGGACTCGGCACTGCGCTGCACATGTGAACCGGCCTGAAGTGGCTCAGCAAAATGCCGCTCTCGGGCTTCTGGAAGTCTCTTTTATGCATTCCTTTCCGTCAGCTTCAGCCAACCTCACATTCCAAATGCTTAACATATATAGGGCCAGCTCTTGGCGCTTTTGTCTCCGTAGCAAAAAGCCTTGATGACGACGTCACAGTGTTCGTGCAACGTCACAAGCATTTTAAAAGGTTTGCCACGACGTCGCCACCTGAACACCGTCGCGGTATTTTATGTGACGTCGCCGGCGTGACAGTCTTTGCCTGACGCCATGACGAGCGTAACATTTTAGTATCACGTAACACAGTGACATCCCACTATACTGCGATGTCACGGTATTGTGTGGTACCATTGCATCTTGTGACGTCGCGTCACGTCGCACGATCCTGTGACAACAGGACACCGTGACGTGACATTGTGATGTCACATCACACGACATTTCGATGCCATGTGACATCATGCTGTCATATAACACTGACGTCCCGGCATCACCATGGTGTCACACATAACACTGACCTCATGGTGTCACACATAATACTGTGACATCATGGTGCCCCCACAGTACCACAGGTAACACAGTGACGTCATTGTGTCACATGGTGACATAAAGTAACATACCACTGTGACATTAATTGACAGCATGACATCACAAAAGAACCTAAAAATGCTGCGCATTTAGAGCGCCTCTGGGATACAGCAAAGAGACAGGAGTTTTGCAAAGCACCAAGCGCAAGGCCACGCCCGCGAGGGCGTCCCCTCCCTCCCTCCCTCTTTTTCCGAAAGAATCCCAGGCGGCGAACTCCAATACACGCACCTGCCAGCTCGACCTGGAGGCGCTCCATGTTGCGCCGGAGGTTCTCCATCTCCTGGCCAGCCTGCTCCTGTTCGGCCAGGCCAGCCGAGGAGAGAGAATCCCTACGGCTGCCGCCCTCCTCCTGGGACGCCGCAGAGGCCGCGGCACTCTCCGTCTGCTGCTGCTTGTCCCGCACGTCGCTCAGCTCCTTCAGCACCCGGTCCCGGTCCTGGAGCGCCGAAGCTATCTCGCGCTTCAGGCTCTCAATCTGCAAATCGGGAGTTATATGGAAAGGGCAGAGGGGGTCAGCACGAGAGAAGACACAACAAGATGAGAGTCACACCTTCACAACAAAAAAGAGAGATATGTGGACGCTTAGACGGTGCAAAGCTAGCCAGCCGTCGAAAGGGGCTACTTGTCTCTTGGCTGCACACTGATGTTCGTCATGCAGTACTACTGATCACTCACGTCTTTACGGCATCTACCACTACAGTGCCTTCAAACACACACATGGCTGTAGAGCGATGACATCTCGGCCATTTGGCCACCTGATATGTTTTGGCAGTGACTATTTCGACGTCCACCGTCAAAATATTTCAAAAATTATTTTGAAATCTGTGACGTCACTTCCGTAAAACGTCAAAATAGTGGCTTTATTATATTGATGTCCCCCCCTCAATGCAGCCGTCACAGTGGTAGCCATGTTGTGGTTTCGTTCTGTTTAGTTTCTGATGGTGTCGGTGTTGTGTTGACGTTTTGACGGATTCATCTGTTGCATGCCTAAGAAGTTTCGCTCCTAACTGGCATTGGAAATGCCTTATTCAGAGTGTATGTGGGACTGGCTTGACAATTGAATCTTTTGGACGTGACAGCCCGGCGGCGATGTTCTGAACGTTTTGAGCTCGCATGTCCTTTCAGCACGCGTCTCACTTAGAAGTGTTTGAATCTACAACAAAGGTGAGCTGGATATCCCTGTCTTGTCTGCACGTAACAAATAGAAATGCGTTTGAGTTCATATCGCATGAGCGAACGCCGTTTTAGCGAACAGTGATCATTTGAGCAAATCAATGTTTGGTTGCAGTGGTTGCAGTCTCACTTTGCATCTGGCTCTTACCCTGTTTTTAACTGGGCTTCGTGAGTTTGTTGTTCAGTTTAGATTTTCTGTTTGGTTTCGTGTATAACAAGTGGGTTGACTACGAAATGATCGGAATGTTAAATAAAAGGGTGTGAATGCAACCATCGCCTCCTTGATGTTTCTTGACCAGTGCAAACAAACAAAGGTTCTGGCATGGCTGTACGAGATACACACATTTTCCAATAAACTGGAAATTTTATGATACGGCATTCAGCTCCTTTCTTTATATTAAACATATTAAATAAATCATGTAAAGCAGCGGTGCCGCATTCTGTAATGTGGGGCACAACCAAGCAGGTGTTACTCGTTACCTGGTAGTTCATGTACTTTGAGAAGTTTTGCATTCCACATCACTTAAAAGGTCACAAAAACAGCAGCCGACCGCATGATATTGGTTTTCGGAAAATGTGTGTCAAACCGCGACGCTGCCTGCAAGCAAGATAATATTTTTCTTTTTTTACCACCACATTCGATCACTCCCCAGTCCAGTCTCTAAAGCTCTCAAGTTCCAAGTTTGAGACGTCAAAATAATGACTAAAATATTTTGATGGGGGACGTCAAAATGGCTTTTAAAATATTTTCACGTCCTCAAGAAGTGGCATCACTTCCTGAAGAATCGATGCAACTTCAGGAAGTGGCATCGATTATTTTGAAAGTGGAAATAGATATAGTCACTACCATATGTCCTATGTAATTGTTTTTCTTTTGTTTCGCTGAATTTTTTTTCAAGTGCGCACAGCTTGGCAATGCTTGGCGTAAACGCATAGCTTATGCCAAGAGTCCAAAAGATCAATAATGGCATTTACTGATCCTTTAGACCAGGGGTCGGCAACTTTTCTTAGCGGCAGGCCGAGTCGTCACGAAGCCAACATGGAGGAAGCCGGACGATGAGTCGCAAAAAGGGGGGGGGAGGGGGGGGGGCAGGCGGAAAATAGGCAAAAAGGAAGTGAAGACGTTCTCTGCCTAAGTATGGGGTGCCGGAAAATCCCCATTGCAGGTCACAACTACCGTGTGGTCCTCGAGTGCATGCGAAAAAGCAGCGAAGAGGGGGGGGGGGGGATTGCTTTTCTGGTGTCGTACCAGGGGCCGCATGAAACTGCCTCGCAGGCTGCATGTGGCCCGGGGGCCGTGGGTTGCCGACTCCCGCTTTAGACTCTTAACAAGGACTCTAAACCGATCAATAAGGGCAATAACTGCGGATGAGGCTTTCAACTTGACATCTCGCGGGCCCACATAAAGTGGCATTGATATTTAAAGCTTTTATCCCCATACTTATTATACTTTTACTCACTGATAAGACATCTGATGCACAAATGCTTTCCTCAAAATTTACCGACTCCTCCAGCCCTTACTGACATCCCCAAACAAAACCAGGTTTTCCCTGTTATTAAGTACCTTGAAAGTTGCTGACCCGAGCAGTTCAGTGCGTCTCGCGAGAAGGCATTCTAATGTCGATTGTATCTTGGCAGTCAGGTAGGCAGGCAGTTCCCTAAACACCAAACAAAATACCTGACCACATTAAATTTTCTCTAGTAACTTGCAGCGGTTTGACCTTGCTGCTGCCCGTAGGGAGGTACGGCACCCGGAATCCAGTTCAATAGACAAGTGTTTATTACCTCTCCAGTTCCTGGCGGCGACTGCCGCTGGGCAGAGTTCGCTTGACTCTTATAGCGAGGCCCCCTTCCCGCTTGGTCGCGCAAGCGCCCCCACAAACTTCAGAGAGGATCCTCTATGAGTTATAGAAATAAAACCATAGGAAACATATTGCAGTTCTTAGGATTCCTTGTCCCAAGGAACATCTCCCTGCTGCAAGGATGCCGAGAAAGCTCACTAACACGGTGCCAAGGCAACAAATAAGACAGAAGCTAATGGTTACTAGTTATCAATACCGTATGTGAGGGAGGAAAAATGTAATACAACCTCGTTGATAAGAATACAAAAGTATCTCAACGGCTCTCAAGCTACACACATCGAGCACCTGTTGGGAGCTGTTTTCTCCCAAAACAACCGCTACCCTTGGAAATTCCTATAACGACCTGGCCGAAGAGCCCTCCAACACTGTCTTCGAACAAGTACAACACAAAACCATGCAACACGGTGGAGTAAACTTGAGGCTGGTTCGCACATTTGTATTTGAGTGCAACGAACTGCGATGTATTTGAGTGCAATCAACTGCCCTCAAGCTTGCTGCCCGTCATTTGAAGCAGCACCTAGAGGCGGTGTCTCCAAGCTGTGTACTCCATTGATTACGGTGAAGTGCCATCAAAACACTCTGCTTCAAAAACCGCGTACTCCACCAAGTACACTGCAGTTACCGTAGCAGCCGTCTCCCAAACGGATGCACGTCAAACAACGGAAAGTGGACCTCGGGGTGCGGGGGGGCTAGTGCTCTTGAAGCGGCGTCTACGGCAAGTTCCCTAACCAAGCTGAATAAGTAACGTTGATCACAGTCGAACGCAAATGTACGAACCAGCCTTTAAGATACAAAACTTTAGAAGCGGGGTATAGTTATGCGTCCACACATTAAACGCAAATGCAGCTCCCACGACCCTCTCCGGGGCAGGAAGAGAAGCGGAGTGAAAGAGTGTTCCCACCTCGTCGAGCGAAGCCTTGTGGCTGGCCTCGGTCTGGCGGGCCTTGTTCTGGGCCTCCTGCAGCTCTTCCTGCAGCCGTTCAATCTCCTTGTGCACCGAGTCCCTCTCGGACATGATGAGGGTGTACTCCTGAACGGCCGCATTGCGCTCCTCCGTCAGCCGCGACAGGTCCTTCGAGGCCTTGATGCGCACTGCCATCGCCTGGTTGATCTCCTTCATCGCCTCGTCGCGCTGCTGCTGCACCTGCACGCACCAGCACACGCGCTCGTCGGGAGGGACGGAAAAGACGGCTTAACGACCGACTGTAGTCTTCATATTTACGCTGTAAAAAAAGAACTCCGAGCGGAGAAGAAGGGGTCCTACCGATTACAAGACCACATCCGCATGTGTACGCCAGGTTCACGCCATACTCAGTTGTGGGTTAGTGTAGAACAAGCTCCTTCCGCAAAGCCCCCTACCCCATTCCAATTGAGCGGAGCAGACGGTAAAGAGGCGGCAAAAGGATGCAAACAGGGACTCGTCTTTTCTCCAGCGCCCGCTCTGCTAAAAGTGGAAAGAGTGGAGGGCTTTGCACGAAAAGATTGTCCCGCTTTTCTTGACCTGCAACAGGGTATACCAAGCATATGCTGTTACTGTTTGCTGGAAAGTAACAGCATGCCAAATAGCTTTTATAAGCTATACATGGTTTCTATGGTTGGCGACAGGCTAAGAACCCAGTAGATGTTCCGCCTCAAGAGCGAGCTTTCCCACTCCGATAACACTTCATCGCACGCGCAGCCAAAGCCCAACAGAATGCAACGAACACATTTTGGAGGCAAAGCGTTTACCGGTTTCTCAACCTGTCACCGACTGTAGAATGCTTTTAAAAGCTACACGCAGCATCTAACGTGCTTTTAGGAGCTACAGATAGCATCTAGTATGCCTTTAGAAGCTACATATGACTTCGAGTATGCTTTTAGAAGGTACACATAGCATGTAGTATGCTTTTAAAAGCTACACATAGGTTCCAAAGGCTATAATAAACCAATTTATTCAAGGTGTGTTTCTAGACACTGTCCCCAGCTAACGCAGTCAAGTTCAAGAGCTTCGCAGAGCACGCGCGGCGGATGGCCGGCCATTTGAGGGTCCCGTACCTTGGCCAGCTGGTCCCTGGCCTCGTTGCGCTCCCGGAGGGCGCTGTCCCACTGGCGGATGGCGGCTGTGCACTGCTGCTGCAGGCCCGAGCGCTCCCTGAGGGCCGCATTGCGCTCCTGCAGGGCCTCCTCGGCGCCCTGCTTGAGCCGCTGCAGCTCCTCCTGGCACAGCTCCAGCCGGGACATGTGGGCGCTGTGGGCTGCCGTGAGGTCCGCGTACCGCTTGTGCAGTGTGTCGTACTCCTCCTTCAGGGCCTTGCACTTCTGCCGGTAGGCCGCCTCCCCACCGCCCCCGCTCTCCATCAGGCCCTCCTAGATGGGGGGGTGAGGGTTTATGATGATGCATTTTTGGCACTGCTTGATTGGCTCCATTCAATCGTAGCGTCGACTGCATCGCACTTAAAGTGAGACGGAGTATAACACTTCCCCCCCTCTTACACGCAACACCATTCGTTGTTGCACTATGATGCCAAACTAATGGCCGTGCCTACGCCCTGCTACAGGCACTTCTTCCCACGGCCTTGCTGCGGCACGACCGACATCAACAGCAAAGCGAGCACCTGAGGTCTTGTACGGGGTTGCCATATAAAGCTGATGCTTTAAAACAAACTCGTTTCTTCTTGCAGCCTCTTTTTTTTTTTTTTTTTTTTTTTTTTTTTAGTTGTGCTACGGGAGGAATTGTGAGAGGTAGGTTTATACCAGGCCTCGCTTAAGCACCTTTCGCGAAGCGAAAGGCTTAGAGTCCGACTATGCAAGAAGAAGCAAGAAGAAGCGAAACAAGAAGAGGTTACTTTGTCTATGAAGTAGTTAGTAGGGATGGTGACAGTACTTTACATAAATTGGGTTCGAAATGATTGAACCAATTTTAATGTGAATGCCCGATCCTACATAGGTGCTTGTTCTCTGGTTTATGGCAGGTGTGACAGTTTCCAGAGCTACACTCTACTTTATTCTAATACACAAATCCCCGAAATTTAGTGTCAGAATGCAACAACAAGATATCTCTCCTTTGTTTTTGCAACATGTTTTGCTAAATCCTATGAAAGCATCAACCCTTATCATTCTCAAACCTGATTCCATTTTCATCATCCCTAATCACACCTAAGAGTTTGGTGCTCCAATGACAATCCTGTCAGGGCAAAACACCAAGCTAGATGATACAGATCTGACTTAAAGGGGCGGTGCAACGATTTTCGGACTTCGGTCAAAGATTTCTGAAGGTTGCCCCCTGACACTTCTGAAGTAAAGAACAGAAAACCGATTTCGTCTGCGTGTCCTAGTTGTTGCATAAAAAAAAAGATAAATATTGGCATTTCGGGCACCCCTCAACTCATTCCCAGTCTTCAGGGTCACACCTGGTCGCACTCCCAGTGACGTCATTCGGAGTGCCGTGTAGCTTCCCGTGTGCTATCTCGGAGGACGCTTCCCCTCCCTCTCTCTGCGTACATTAGCGGGCGCTATGCTGCAGCTTAGAGCCGAGCGAGGTCACGTAATCTTTCCGCCGTAGTTCCTTCGGCTGCCACTTGGGGCTGCAGGTGGGGCAAAAAGCTGGACTTTTGCTTTGCGATTATGCAGCGGAATCGCGACATTTTTTATGAAGGAACTGTTTTCTCTATCCTTCGGGACACGATAAACAACGTAAAAATGACGAGATGCAAATTCTTTTAATCATAAAATCGTTGCACCGCCCCTTTAACAAGTGAACATGCACAAAACAAAAACACAAATTAAATGCACAAAAAAAGGGCATTTAAAAAGGAATGCAAAACAGAATAAGAAGTCACATAAAATAAACAGCACTCTGTCCACGTCCTGTGCCCATTGTCAGATTGCCATATTGCAAACACTTCTTTTTACAACACATAATTGTTTTGCCATGTGGTTGTAGACACTTTAAAAGCTTACTAAAACATTCAATGTCAGTAAAGGCTTGACAAGCTGCATAAAAGCAACTTTCTTCACTCACTCATGATGGAAATAAATAATGTTTGACTGTTTCAACTGAAAAGAGAATGCATGGTGAGTAGGTACACTGACTTGTTGGTGGTGGTGCAGGTCGCTCAGTTCCTTCTGCTTATCTTCCACAATCCTCTGTAGTCGCTTCACCTCTTGCTCCAGGAGCCTCTTTTCCGTGTGTGGGTCCCCATTCTCCTTCTTCACTAAAAGTGCATCTTGCCACTGGTCCTCAACTTTACTCTGTTCAACAAGCGGAAGAAAAAGACATACGTCAACCCTTCACATGATGCACCGTAGCTAAGGTTCCAAAGTTCGTCATTCTCACATCCGCACACCAGACAGATGTAGTATTGACCCTTAAGAAGGTAGGGGTGACAGCAGACCTTACAATATGCAGGTGAGCCAATCATGTCATTCTGTGGCGAAACAAAATGCATTTGAACGTGGTTGTTGTTTCGCTTTACGTTCTTTTAACGAAGGGCACACATGGACAACCTTTCGTGCCAGAGTCAGACTGAAGACTGACGTCTCGTTTATTAAATCTAAAACGAAATAAAAGAAAGGCGCCTCTGGTACGGGGCGCTCAGGTTACGCGCGAAGCGGACGAACGGATGTTTAGATCTCGGGCTGCGCGCGAATGATTCTTCTCGGTCGCTTTGGACTTTGGAGCTCGTTAGCGTCGGCGCGTCGGCGACCTCCATAACATCCCTCTTTCCAAGGGAGCTTCGAAGAAGTGCCGAAACGGTCTGGCTCTTTTAGACATCGGCCGTGCCGAGAATGTTTGTGGGAGGTGTTGGCACACGTTTCCTCGGGCCTCGTGGTTGTTTCGGGGAACTCTTCGATGCGTTGTTTATCTTGTTCGTCGGGGAAAGGAATTAAATGCGTGCGATTTCTTCGGATCTCTTGACCCTCGGACGTTATCCAGTAAGATCGTGGAGTATGGGCCTTGTTCTGAACAACTCCGGTTCGCTTTAGGTCAATGACCCAAACTCGCTCTCCAGAGCCGAGTGGATCGAGTTGACGCACTCCGTGTCGCCGGTCGAAGTATTGCTTTTGTCGGTTCCTGTTTTCTTGCTCATAGCGACGCAGTTCTTTTTGGTCGGGTAGCTTTGGTTCCAGGAGCTGAGTGGCAATCGGTACGGTTGTACGCATCCTTCTCCCCATGAGAAGTTCTGTCGGACTGTATCCGTTGGGCAGAGGCGTTGAACGGTAGATCATGAGTGTCTCGTACGGATCTTCCGTTTTGCTGAGTGATCTTTTTATGATCTTCACCGCAGCCTCCGCCATCCCATTGCTCTGCGCGTAGCGAGGGCTTGATGTGATGTGCTTAAATCCGTAGGTCTGTGAGAATTTGGTGAATGCTGAACCTGTGGTTCCCGCAAACTGAGGACCATTATCAGGTACCACTACTTCTGGGATGCCATGCCTCGCAAATATCGATTTGCAGTGCATTATTACGCACGCTGCTGTGAGCTTTCCAGTCGGGCGATTTCGGGGTAGCGAGAGTAGTAGTCGACGACGACCAGCCACCATTTCCCGTGAATGAAGAAGAGGTCCATCGCCACTCTCTCCCACGGTCGACTAGGAAACTCTGACGGGATGAGGGGGAGCTTTCGGTTCTGGCCAGTTTTAATGCATTTTTCGCAGTTCTTGACCAGGCGCTCGATATGATTGTTTATCCTCGGCCACCACACCGATACATTTGCCCGTGCTTTGCATTTTCCTACGCCCATGTGTCCTTCATGAAGTTGTTGCAGGATATGTGGACGGCAGGATTCTGGTACCACTATTCTAGAACCATTCATGAGAAGGCTGTTTTGCACGGCAATGTGATGACGGTACTCGTAGTACTCTTTGAGGTCTGTTCCGAGATCTCGACGATTTGGCCAACCTTCGTGGCTGTAGCTGGCGAGTCTTTGGCAAACATGGTCTTTCTTCTGCTCTGCCGTTATCCATTGGAGACTCGTTTGCGTTGCTGGTAGGGACGTCTCTATGTGTCGAATGAAGCAATCGATTTCTTCTTGCATCTCTCTGTCTTGCCGCTGTGGCAGAGGGCTTCTTGACAACGAGTCAGCTGCTTGGAGTTCCTTGCCCGGAACGTGGACAACTTCGAATGAGTAGCGCATTAAACGCATGCGCAGTCTCTGAAGCCGTGGGGTTAGGTCGTCCAATGACTTTGATCCGAACAGAGAAATGAGTGGTTTGTGGTCGGTTTCCAGTACAAAGTGCGTTCCCACGATGTAATCTCGCAATTTTTCGCATGCCCACGTGAGTGCCAAACCTTCTTTTTCGATTTGGGCGTACCTCTTCTCTGTTTCGGTAAGTGTTCTGGACGCATAGGCGATGACGCGATATGATCCATCCTCCTGCTCTTGACGCAGCACTGCTCCCAGGCCGTAGGATGACGCATCTGCCGATACAATCGATCGCTTGTTGGCGTCGTAAATTCCGAGAACGGGGCAGGTTGAGAGGATTTCCTTCCGCTTGGTGAAGGCTTTCTGCTGAGGATGATCCCACACGAAGTCCACTTTGGAACTGAGCAGTGACGATAGTGGATGCAGTAGGTCAGACAGGTGTGGCACGAATCGTCCTAGGTATGTCGCCATACCCATGATGCGTTTGACTTCTTGCTTTGAAGTCGGTATGGGCATCTGTTTCACTGCGTTGACGATTGTCTCGTCTGGACGGACACCATCGCTGTCTACTTGATGACCTAGGAACTTGATACTTGTCACTCGAAAGACGCATTTATCCTCGTTGAGCGTGAGTCCTGCTGATGAGAGTCGCCTGAGGACTTCTCGCAGACGTTGCTCGTGCTGCTCGGACGATGACGCCCATATCAAGATATCGTCCATATGGCAAAGTACTCCTTCCATTCCTTGGAGAAGTTGTGTGATACGTCTCTGGAAGTGTTCCGGTGCTGACGTGATTCCGAATGGTAGGCGATTAAAACAATATCTTCCAAACGGAGTGATGAATGTCGTCAGGAGTCGTGACTTCTCGTCTAAAGGGATCTGCCAGAACCCAGAATTCGCGTCCAACTTTGAGAAGATCTTGGCTCCCGCTAGCCTTCCCAGCGTGTGCTCCACTGATGGGATAGGGTGATATTCGCGCTGAATGTGTTTGTTCAGTTGTGTGAGATCAACACAAATGCGAATTTTGCCAGACGGTTTGGGGACGATGACCATCGGCGCGCACCATTCAGTAGGTTCTTCTACTGGAGAGATGACACCTTGCGACTGCATGCTTTCTAGCTCTTTCTGCGTTTCTCGATACAGCGAAAGCGGTACTCTTCTCGGTGATGCGATAGCAAACGGCGTCGCGTTAGGCTTCAGCTTCAGAACGTGAGCACCTTCGAGAGATCCCAGTCCTTGAAACAGGTGAGAGAACTCTTTCTTCGGTTCGCAAGTTCTGTTCGCAGTCATGCAGATTTGAGGGCAAAGCCGAAATTTTTCGATAGCTGGCTTACCCAAGAGAGGTTTGCGAAGTCCTTTCACGATGTAAACTTCTTCGAGTGCTTGTTGCCCACGGCAGTTGAGCTTCATCCAAGCTGATCCCATGACTTTAAGGGGTCGTCCGTCTGGACCATGAAGTCGGCGTTGGGGCTCGGAGAGCTTGTGGCACTTTGCGAAGACCTTTTGAAAGATGGCAGCTGGTAACACCGTTTCGTCTGCTCCAGTGTCTATTCGGAAAAAAACAGGAGTTTCGTCGACGAATATCTCGATGTCCCATTTTGCTGTTTGAGGAGAAGCTGCCGCTCCTACGAATCCTTGTTCGTGTACGAGGGAGTTCACGGTAGTTGAAGATTTGCAGACTGTTGCAAAATGTCCCTTTTTCATACACCTGTTGCAGCCTGCGTTCTTCGCCGGACACACGCTCCTTGGGTGAGCTTCTCGACCACACCAACGGCACGGTTTGCCTTTTGGTTTGGGTGTCGCGGTCTTCTTAGTAGGAGTTCGAACATTTGAACGTTCAATTCCTCACTGAGCAGGTCTTGCTGCTGTCCCATTTTTGGCTGCTATACGGTCAACGTTGGCATCCTTTTCTTTTGTCGGTCGGAGTTCCGCCTGTTGCTTCTTAATCACTTCCGATTGTCGCGCAGCAGCGATGGCCTTCTGGAGGTCCAGATCAGGATCCAGTTGAAGTTTTTCTGATGTCCTGCTGTCCCGAAGACCAACAATCAGCCTGTCGCGGATCAATTCTTCCTTCAGTGGTTCTTAGTTGCACTTAGTGGCTAATCCATGGAGAGCAGTGACATACTCCTCGACGGTTTCCGTCTCCAGTTGCGATCTTGTGTTGAACATGGCTCTCTCATACACCACGTTTCGACGAGGAATGAAGTAACGTTCGAAGTTCTCTATCACCTTCTCGAAATCTTGTCCCTCGGTGTCGGACAGCTTTAAGGTCTGTAAGACGTCTTCAGCTTGTGGTCCCATGATGTAAATGAGAGCGTCGACTTGGTGTGATGATGGTTGAGATGCCAGTCCTGATGCACTGTGGAAGCGCTTGAATCTCTTCTTCCACGCCGGCCATTCGTTAGGTGTTGTAAAACTGAAGGCTTCGGGTGGCGAGATGCGAAAAGTTGCCGTTACCGTTTGTTCGGTAGCACCGTTGTCGGCAGAAGTTGAGGGCTTGTCCATTGTCCCTTCGTTTGTAGACGATCCTGCGCTTTACTAATTATTAGTAGACTCGCGGAGCGATCCCACTTCTGACACCATGTTTCGTTTTACGTTCTTTTAACGAAGGGCACACATGGACAACCTTTCGTGCTGGAGTCAGACTGAAGACTGACGTCTCGTTTATTAAATCTAAAACGAAATAAAAGAAAGGCGCCTCTGGTACGGGGCGCTCAGGTTACGCGCGAAGCGGACGAACGGATGTTTAGATCTCGGGCTGCGCGCGAACGGTTCTTCTCGGTCGCTTTGGACTTTGGAGCTCGCTAGCGTCGGCGCGTCGGCGACCTCCATAACAGTTGTTTCCAGCATTTGTGGAATAGAATCATGAGCTGGTATATCAAACATCTACGATTAAAGGGACACTGACAGGGTATTTATGCTCGCCGAGGTTTTTTGATGTATGTGGCATATGAGAGCCCGACTACCCAGAACAGAATTTGAGGGCTTGAAATTCGTTTTCTTTCTGCTTGAAAACCGCCGATCAAGAACTGGCCGGTTTGAGTCGCGCTCTCTCTCTTTTCCGTGGTCACGGGCCATTTTCTAAGGTTTAGACCCAACCACCAAATTTAATCAAAGTTTTTGGTCATTGAAGGCATGCACTCAGTATTAAAAATAGAAAAAATATGAAACCCATATTTGTGGCTACTAAAACTGCAAATATGTTAATTGAAAAAAAGAAAAAAAAAAGTAGCAAAGAGACTTGGAAACAGCCCGCGCGTTTAGTGCATAATTCTCAACATGGCGTCGTTTCGCATGTCGTGGGACTTGCAGAGACGGCAATAGCAGCGGATGACGAGCGTGAAACTTCTACTTCAGAACTGTCGTTCGCAGTACCGGCAAATTCTGTCTCCTTTTGAAAGAGAAATTTTGGACCGATCAAAATAACTGATATCTATCCCGTACGACACGCCCGACCACCAAGCCGATTTGCACGAAGACATCGCCGACCCGTTGCCCCCTTCTCGTGGCTCAAGACATCGCTCGCGCAAACGTCAAGCACGAAGTGCGTACTTCGAGTTGAATATGCACACGTATAATTTCTTTACTAGGTGCGAATGTGGCCAATGCATGGTGCTGCCTGACTTCGACCCGGGAGTGCTTTTGCTGGAGGAAAATCAGCAGCAAACTTTCCAGCCTAAAGTTGACCGGCTGCATTATTACTAACGAAAGTGTTTCCCCAGTAGCTCAGTGGAAAGATGTCTGCTTCAGATGCGGCAGACGCAGGTTCAATTGCTAGTGTGGGCATACAATGTTTTTTTTGTGTTTTGTTTTGTCGCAACATTTAACGGCTATTACACATTTCTTTTTTACAATTATCACTGGAAAAAAAATTGTGGATGATGCATTGCTGAACTAAATGGTATGGGATTTCCTTTTTGACACTTGTAAAGTCAAAGTAATCACTTTCCACAAAATGCAAGGAGCATATAAATCGGGTAGCGTCCGCTTTCCGAGGTGCCCGTAAATGTTCTACAGGAATTGCAGCCATCCATAGGTCGCGATATTGTTGATCTTTCGAAAACATGTGCAGATTCTGCTGCACAATGCCACTTTCTTCGGACGCAGGACATGTGAGGCAGCTTTTCACGCAACATCTGGGGGTATTCTTTCCAGAGCCAATCACGGAAATTCACCACGGGCACTCACGACTCATCTCCAACTCTTAAATGTAGAAAACAACTCATCTTAAAGTGCAGAACAGCAAGCAGAGCAAACATTACTGCCAAGAAATCGCACAACAAACGGTTCCCCACCACACATGTTGTCTGCTGCGGGCAAAAAAAAACGAAAAAAAAAAAACAAAACGGAAGAAACAAAAAAGCACACGGTTGCGTGTAGCCACATGACCTCCACCACTCACTCTCTTCTCTCCACTTCTCCGACCTCTGCGCGCAGGTTTTGGTTTCGGTTTCGAGCAGTTGCGTTTTTTTAGCTTTATGAAAAATATATGCGACTCTGTTGGAAAATATTAATTGGGGAGTGTTTTGACACTTAAATAGATCGCCTGGCAAAATATTTTTCAAAATCTTTTGGGGGGTGTCAGTGTCTTTTTAAGAGAGCTACTCTAGCTGAATATTAGGTTTCAGATATTTATTTGTATGTCCAAAATTCAAGAACTGTTCAGACAGCTCACATACTTACATGCTGAAATATCCTCCCCTAACACACCTAGAATGCTTGCAAAGCACATATTTCCATAAGAATATGTCGCATTTTACACCGCTGCTTCGAAAACAAAAGCAATAGCCTCTGAAGTAGTACACTGAACAAACGTGGCTGATCTTACGTTGCAATTTCTCTTCGAAACTGTTGACATTAGTAAGGCAGATGTATGAGGGTAATACAAAGGTAATGCCAGAGCACTCACTTTATGTTTCCCATGGTAAAATTCCTGCTCCAACTTTACAGGGTGCTCTGTTGCCACCAAGTGATGATAGTCGTAGTCTCTACATGAACTCAAGGACCAGTCACTCGAGCTTGCTGAAAGCGAGGAACACGGCATGAAAACGGCACAGGAGGTAGACATGGCCTGCCAAAAGGCAATGCCCAGGCCTCGGCACTCGCATGGTCAAAGATACAGTGCAACCTGCTAATAGCACTCCACCTTATAATGAGCTTCAGTTATAGCAAACATAATTAAAAGCAATCAAATTTTGACTGAGCATTGCCCTGTGTGAATGTTAGTGCACAAACAAATGATACAACAAAACCTGTGGAGTTTTAACAGGTAGATGTGTCAGTGTAAGGTTACTTTAGTTGGTAGATACCTTGCATGAATTTAATCCTCCTGTAAGAAGGATTAGATTAATGTAATTCTAACTTCCATGAATTTAATCCTCCCTAGAGAGGACTAAGGTTAATGCAGGGATGGGCAAAATACATGCAAATATGTATTGAAATACAAATACAAAATACTTTGTTAAAAATGTATTTCATTACAAATCTAATTACATTTCCAAAAAAGCATTTAAATACAAGATACAAATACAACCAAATGTATTTGGTCTCCTCCAAATACTTTTCCAAATGCATTCCTCAAAATTTGCGTCAGCGACTTCAGGGCACCTGCAACGGGTTTCTGGGTATCTCATTTTAATTTTGTATTACACACTCGGGAGTTAGTGTGCGGGGCTCTAGTAACGTAATAGAAATATAACCACAAAAAGTGTAATCAGCTTGGACGTGATAGGTGAAAAAAGTAGAGAGCTTTAAGCAGCTTTTTTTGTCGGTTACATTTTGGTATAGGCCAACAAAGAACCGAGACGACCAAGACGCGCAGCACTAGCTAGAGAATTTTTTATTGTTGCAACTCGCACCAGTTACGAAAGTCTGGACGACCCGCGCATTTAGAATGTTCCAGGCAAAAATATGGATGGAAACCAGGCTGGAAAGCATCACAAGTTGTCACGGGCACTTATTTAGCCAGTCTGCCTGTGAATGTCGATTTCATCACTATTCTTGACCTGGACTAGCACGGTCGTAATCACAAAGTCACTAAACGCTTGTGCTTGATTGAGAGACACTGCATTCGGTGCAGAACGTAGTTTTCTTCCTGCTCTGGACAGTGACAATAAATTTGAGGGATGTATTTTAGCCCAAAATATTGTATTTACTTACAATTGTATTTGAAATACCCACGTTTTAGTATTTAAATACACACGTCAAATACATTACCCAATTTGTAATTAAATACAAATGCAAAATACACAGAGTATTTGAAATACGTATTTCAAATACTTGTATTTGAAATACTGCCCATCCCTGGGTTAATGTAATTCTAGTAAGCTGTAATCCTACATGTTTACTAAACAAAAGCATAGAATGCTCTAAAAAATATAGGTTCCAACCAAAAAACATTTGATAACTATACAGCAAAGTGCAAGAATAAAATAGGAATTCACACATCCTTGCCCGCCACCCAAGACTGGTGCTTGCTTTTTCGACAAATGCATGACTCCGACTAAAGCACAAACAAAAGCTATCAACAATTTAGCCTAAAAGACAGAAGACCATAGAGCAGTCATTAACAATAAAAGCTTACCAAGAAATGTTATGGATCAAAGTGGCGACGCAGGGGAGTTGGTTCATGATATGACTGTTTCTTTACATAATACGCAATTCAAGGACACCGCAAAATATAACTCGAAGAAATTGAAGAAATCCGTAATCTTTTTGTTTCAGCCTTAAAAGACGTCCATTTCTAATGTGGGCAGGCAAACATCTGACATGCCACGAGAACAGCCTAAGCAACCAAATAAAAGCTAGCTGACACAACTGCCATGCTTCTCCAGACATTTTCTGTCATAGGATATACAAGCTCAGTGGAGTGAAGCATCAAATTTAATAGTCCAGACAGTGTGACTTGATTGTGTCACACTACTGGAAAGGTGAAGCAACAACATAATTTTCAGTTCAAACTGAATTGACTGTTTAAGAAATACCTTATGCCATACTGAAAAATGTCTGCAGTGGCTTCTTTGCATCTTGCCTTACTGGCTAGGACAAGAAAACATTTCAGTTGTTCATGTCTCAACAGTCCCTTTGAAGAAATCAAGATGACCTACATACAGCATTGCCACAACAAAACAAAACCAACTTGGCATGACATTGTTGCAATACATCTCAAGACAAAAAGAAATAAAAATACTATAATGATCAATAAATGCCTTGCTTTTTGAAAGCTCAACTAAAGGTGATAACTGACCAGACAGAAACATCATCTAAGAAACAGAAAGACAACAGAAGGGCAACAAACCATGCGTTTTCCCCATGGAAGGGTTAAAATGATCTCCGCTCATAGTAAGCCTCCTGTAAACACCGTCTTGATCAGCATGCACCTACAGAGAACAACAACAAACTAGCAATAAGAAAAGGTAGGGACAACAGCAGGCAGACACAGACAAAATTAATTAAACAACCAGGATGCCGGACAAATAAAATTCGCCTATTTCACCTTAGCGATGCTACGAGCAACCCAAAACAATCCAGGCTACAAACCAAAGAAGACTTTGACGAGCGTGTTGGCACAGATGTAACAGTAAGAAAGCACAAAACAAACAGAGGGACAAAAACAGACATGTACAAGTCTGTTTTTGTCCCTCTGTTTGTTTTGTGCTTTCTTACTGCTACAAACCAACATTGCTAAGATTTGTAGCCTCTACTGTGGTCCACTTAAAGGCCAACAAGCGGCAAGAAAGGAGGAAGGCCTCCTTCAATTCCAGCTTTCCATTAGATAAAAAGGGAGACCCTCCTTTCTGCAAGGAGTAGCTCAGAGAACTGCTCCTGTTGCAAGAGGAGAAGAGAAGAGTGTCAGAGGGAATGAAGAGAAGGAAACTGGGAATTGGTTTTCTTCCCGGCAGAAGATGACTCTATGGGTCGGCCTTTAAGGGTGAAGTGGGGTAACGAAAACAGAAGTAACCGAAAAATAGTCCTTTCACAAAAATTAAATTTCTCATTTAAAATTTGTAAACATTTAACTTGAAATATGCAACACCCAAGAACAGCTACTGAATGTTGGTCAACATCTATAAAGTCATTATTTATATATAGGGGTTCAGAGTTTTTTTTCTTAACTCGATAAAAACCGATAAAAGTATGCCGAATCCATTTTCGAAAATTCGGTTTTAACCGAAAAAGGTCAGTATGTAGGTTCGGCGTTCTCAATCTAAACCGTTTTATAAAATTCGGTTTTAACCAAAAAAGGTCAGTTTTTTAGGGCCACGTCGAGGTGGGTGGGGGAGGGTTGAGACAGAGAGAAAGGGCTTTGCAGGGTTTGACATTGTGTGACATCTTTGTGATTGCTTCCTTCCAAGGTTCAACATAAAAAAAGTTTGGATGTGGGCTGGTATAAGGTTTTTCACTTCACGCACTTCAGAGGACATCGAGGAAAGCCGCTAATAACTTTCTTAACAACCTCTCTCAAACTTCCCTGTGGATAAAAACATAAACACAATAAACTTTTTTTTTTTGTATTTTGTTGGTTTTTGTACAGTCATCACCTCAGACAGTCACGTTGTCAGAATGGGAAGGAAAAAGAAGCATGCTGAAGATTATACCCGCGAATTCCGCAATTTTGAGCTGTGTCCTGACGGAAGTTGTTGCAAAGACCACATATGTATATGTGTCGTTATTCTTTGAGTGATCACAAATATCACAGCTACAATTAAGGATCATCTGATCCGATGTCCAATGGTGTTTCTTTCCTATTCACTGAAAAAAACTGGTAAACATTTTTGGGAATAAATATACACCGAAAAAAACCGAAACTTCAATTTTAAGACAAACACCGAAAAAAGTATGCCGAAATTCGAAAAAATAAAAACCGAAAATGCAGAACCCTATTTATATACCTTAGTTATGCAAGAATAAGTTGACTTCCACCTGAAATGAAGCACAGTCCCAGGACCTCTCCGAGACTAGCAGAGCACTCTACCAACTGAGCTAACCAGGAACTAGCCGTCAATAGAGCAAATGGATGTTAACAGTTGCCACCAGTCTTGATTGTAACCACCACAAGGGTTACAATGACTATTATGATTTAATATAATTATTTCAGAGGAAGTCAATGTGCAGAAGATTTAGCTAAATCTCCTCCACCTAAGGGACTTCCCCTGAAATCATCATATGATACCTAGGTGGTTATCAATCAGATCTTTATCTGTACCTTACTCTGCTATTGAACACGGGGCACAAGTATAAAGCATTGGGCAATGCTCTCAAAAGCATCTACAAAAGCACCCGATCAGCCTGAACCACTCCAGACACCATGTATGCAACAGCACCTTAAGTCCAATAGGAGGGGCTTCTCGAATACCTCCAGCAACTGGCTTACCTTTTGCATGTTGCAGCCAATGACGAGGCCTCTTTACTCAAAGTAAAATGCTATTTCATAGATCCTTAACCATACAAAATGGGAAGGTCATCTTCCCATTACCTGACGCATGTCACGGCGTGGCAGGTCCCTCTCCGAAGACAAGAGACAGTCTGGCTTGATGGTGCCGTGTACCAAATTAAGCGACTGTGACATGCCGGGCGGATCGTCGGTAGCACCTGCGTAGTGTCAATTACAAAAGTTGCTTAAACACTGCCTGGACTTGTCGACGACAAAAAACAATGCCACAACGCTGCCAAGAGATAGAAAGTTGGCCTTCCAAGAAGCTTCATCAGCCAAAATTTAGAGGCCTTTGGATCATGAAAATTGGGAACTTAGTGATATGACGAGAGCTGCAAATTAATGACATGATGTGCTTGACTTTTACTACCTGCAGCGTCAGACAAAAATAAAAATTATTATTTTCAGACAGAATAAAAGATTTGGCCTATAAAATGAGTATTACTTGCCTAGTCAAAACAAAACAAAGACAATTTCAAAGCTGTGTCGAGATTAAAATACCCATGCCCGGAAAACTTCAGTTCAGATAGATGATCCACAACCCCAGAAATCAATTATTTGCAGTATGTGACCCCTTAACGACCAAAGGAAAGAAAAGCAATGTTCTTAGTGTCACCACCGCTACAGCCAGTGATAAATCTGGAAGATCAGGGGCATGTTTTCAACCGTCCTACCTACAGCATGATCTCTCTTTATTCGATCATGTTCTGGAGCTCTATGAGTGCTAAAAGTGCGTACATGGTCAACAAAACTCGCTGAAATATTTCCCCGTGGGTTACTTGTAATACACCCCCCTCAAGATGAGCCAACATAGCCCCATTCATGTGCAACAGATCAGATATGCAATGCCAGTGATGGCTGGTGAAGCACTTTATCCCAAAATGCATTTAGACCAATTTCATCTTGCAATTATACTTATAAGCCTGCTGGCTGGTGGACAATTAATCAACGAATTTGATTTCATTCAGCACAGTATTAGTATCAGATCTTGGAAGCTGTACTAAAATGACCGAAGCCTCTGCCAACATTTGTAACAAGGTGTCAGCATTAATTGAAATACAAAATCAACATTTTACCATCCCTTTTCCCTAAGGCTAGCCATTAGCAATACCTCCTCCCCCTTCCAAACAAAAAAAAAAATAAATAAATAAACTATCCTAGCACTCAAAAGTTTACACCATCACAACAGCTGCACTGTGCACAATGTCAACAAGGAAATGCAAGCTTTCATAAGGCTCTTCCAAAGTGCTCAAGCTTGCTGTAAAAGATGCTGCCAGATTTTATTCAATTTTATTTTGTTTGACACACCATCAGTGCCATATATTGAAGAGATTAGTGGTGCACAATTGAGAAAAAGGAGTGTCAATAATGGGGAATATTCGTGCACGGCCACTAGCACAAACTGTTAGTGAAGTAACTTACGATTCATCAGAAGCAACAACATTGATGTGTGAAATAGGCTAGCCTTCAGGCCAGCACACAACTGCACCGCACACAACAATAGTGGCCAGTACTATATCGAGGGATCATGAAGCAGAAGCTGGTGGTGAGAAACTGAATAATCCATTTTTCCCTTATAAGCCTACATCACTGCAGCATTCTGGTTACTGGTTACAGAGGTTTTTCTTCTAAAAAATTTGCTACTTGTGAGCCCGTCTCCGGTGTTGTTCATGTTTTGTTGTAGCGCGCCACTTACAACGAGAGTGACGAGATGGATTGTCTGCAGCCAAGCACAATCCTGTTCTCGGTTTTGGAAAGGAGGCATTTTTAATTACGCTCGACATGTTGCACACATATGACCGCCTGTTTATGAACCCAGGTATGCTTCCAGCTGTTACTCAACGGTAGTTGAAGGATACAAATAAAATCTGGACTATGTGTAGAGGAAACGTGATACCATTTCCATGCTTTACAAGCAAAATTTTTTTTATGTTAAATACTAGACATAAACAAAACTTAAACAAAAATAATTTCATAATTTTTTTAAAGAGTATAAAAGCAATGAAACAGAAATTACAACTATTATTAGGGGCAAAAATATCTTATTCATGCAGCTTCTGAGGAACTGGGCAGATTTAAAACTGCTTTTGTTCGATCACTGCACGAGTGCTTTGTGCGAGATTATGCACAATTTATTTGAAAAGTCGGGGAAGTGGAGAACATTCCTATGATGTGGGCACTCACTCCCTTGCAAGGATGAGAATGACAGCCCACGATTCCTGCCTTGGAAAATTTTTCCGTGCATTGCGGGTTCATGATGTTAGGGTGATGCCAGTTGCTCAACAGGAAGCGAGTTGTTTCGCAAAACCTCATTCGACAGACACTGGTATATTAATGCTATGTTGTAGTGTAGCTGTGCATCGCATGAGTCATCAAAGGGAGGTGGATTCTGACGGATCACAAAAACGAACCACCTGAATTCATGCACTGGTGCCCAGTGCATGAATTCAAGGCAACTATGAATGCCTACCCGGTTAGCATACCTGCCGACAAGACCCCGAAGGGAAATTTTCTAGTATGAATCAAATTAAAGTTACTTTGGGCAAGCAGTCACAACATTAAACACGTTGTGCAGTTCTTGACAATATGAAACAGAGCAAATGCTATGGTATCATCCTGCACCCCAAACATAAGTCGGTCAAAAATGAGTACGACATGATCATATTGCAAAAGACACTGTCATAACTGTTGTTTGGCGTTACTGTGAATTGGAAGGCAATTAAAATACCTGTACACCACTTACAATCATCAAACCGTTCAAACAAAGCAGCAGACATTCCCGAACGAATACATAAAATACGTTACACCAAGAGGAAAAAAACAAAAATAAACTGCGATCATTTGAGTTAAAACAGCACCGCCGCACAAACAAATTCGATCTCAAAAACTCGGAGAGCGATAGTCAGACATCGCTAAAAAACATCGCGACGGCAGACACGACGGCGGTTGCGTTTGCAAAACAACAAATAATGCATCCCCACGCAACTGGTTTCTGGAAAGTCAGACTTTCTACGTGACGGAAGGTGCGAGGATACGAGCTACGCAAAAAAAAAAAAGCTAACAAAACAAGAAAAAAAACGAGAGCCCCAGTTCCTGAGTTGAAGGCTAAAGCGAGCGAGGTAGGCGATCAGCTGTATACACTACCAGTATACCTACGCTTAGCGATGTTGTGATACACGCTTTGGCTCAAGCGGTTCTCCACACTGTGGCAAATGTTAAACGGAAAAAAAAATATACATAAATAAAAGCAACGTTCGGGTTCTGAAATCGAATGCATCTCTCCGTCGGTGTGTAGCGAATCACGTATTCACAAACTAGGGCACCTTGCAAGCGAACGGAAGACGGGCTCCGTGACTGCAACCGAATTACAACTGGCTGCCTACTTCACGTCACAAAAACAAAACAAACGAACAGGGGACAGATGGACATAGTTCGTACCTGAACTTTTGCTTGAGCCTCCGTGAAACATGTTTCCTTCCTTTAGAAGCGAGATCTTGGAGCGAAAGAGACACCGCCGGGGTAGTTGGGAGACCACTTGAACACGGAACACTAGGGCAGCATACCGACGGTCGCACGCTCGGCAACAATTCACAACTTGCGAGATCTCTTCGGCGTGGTACGGGTGTCGAAGGCGACGGTGCACCGACGAGAAGTGAACTATGTATAAGCACTTCCAAAAGCGAGTAAGTGCGGGGTGAATCCGAGTCCCCGTAGGCCCGCCATGCCAGCTATGACGCGGCGGCCGATGCTAAAGCTCCGGAAAGTCATTATCATTAATCCGACGCATTTAAGTTTCCGTCGGGATCAACGTGACGGGCAGCTGCTGTTCTCACATAACCACACACAACGAATAACAAGTACGCTCGGTTCTCGACACAACCTCCACCAGCCGGATGACACAACTAAAAAAAAAAAAAAAAAAATCTAGGCGAGGACGAGGGCAAGTGTGGGGTAGTAAACGAGTTCTTTTTTGGAGCAGTATTTTATTTCTCGTTTTAAATAAAAGCGGATACTTTCGTTTTTGCTCTAGATATACTTTTTGCCCGACAAGACATGTCTCGAGTGTGATTTTCGACATAATGTCTCCGTATCCGTAACTTTTTTTCACACTACGATGCTAACGGCCTTTGAGCATTGCCTTCGAGGCTGCGGCGTCACGTGACCATAAATGCAACAAGGACCGGTACTGCCGGTACTTCGCAAGTTTTCCAACTTCAACCGCTGTGCTGCTTGTAGCGCTACCGGCAATACGCTTATAACAATTGTAGCCTAGGTTTAGCTCTATTTTTATTTTTATACAGGAATAAATTTGTGCTTTTGTGCAGCTGCAACCAGTCCGCGGAATTAGTAATATTGACGAGGCTTGTACTTTTTTTACACTTTTCTTTTTTTAGGTTAACCACTAGATGAATGTTTATGCATAACACTGATCTCTATGACAATTGCTGGATCGCGCTTCCCCGCTTGTTCGCTGCAGCGCAAGTGAAGCCACCGGGCTTCACTCGCTTGGGATACGATTTGCCGTTTTTGCTAGCCTTTGCTGCGGTTTTCCAGCGTGCTGACGACACGTTTTCTACTCGTTCGTCGTCATTCGCCGAAGAAGTTTTTTGAAGACTCTGTGTATTGTTGAGACTTTCCGTTGTGAACACGTGGAAAATTTTACGAAAGTGCAGTGTCGCAGGAAAAAGGCACAACGCGTCGAAAGGAAGGGCTGGCGGCGTGTTCAAAGCATCCTTGGCACGCCGAAGTGCCGTGTCTCTGTGCCTTCGCACGCTTGGATACCGACCAAGAACCGACGCCGTGTGTATGTGTTCAGCGAGTGCAATGTGCGTGAAGCTGTTCGTGCCTCTGGATCAGCGCCTTTTCCCCTCGCGGTTTAGGAACGAGCTTAATCCAGCGTCCACTAGCGACGGAGGATGGGGAGAAGGTACGTCTTTTTTTCGTCCTTAGACGATTTACACAATACCGTGCACAACAGCTCCTCATCACTGATCAGTGCTGGCTTATTATCAACCTACGCGACTCGCCTAATTGTAATTGGTCAACAGATTGCACACGACCATATCGGCCGCGCTTCAAAGATTTTCATTCTCGCCGTCTTGTACTTTTGCTTTCGAAAACCCCCCTGGCTCCACGTACAACGTTGCCCTATTCGTGCTCCCACGGAATAGAGTAGATTTGGGACATAGCCATGGTTAATATAGAACATAAGAATACGTACAGATCTCCCTCTTTTATTGATAGCAACTCACCGGAACAGCTGGACGATCCAGAACTCCGTGGCCGATATATATAAATGATCTAAAGGCATCTACGCGCGACACACGTTCAGAACTTTGGCGCGGCGTCAATTCTTGACCGGTATCCAAGCGTGCGAAGGCACAAAGATGCATCACTCAGCGTGCCAAGGAAGCTTTGATCACGCCGCGACACCGGCGACACGTTTTCGACGAGTTGTACCTTTTGATACGGCTTCACGCGCATTGCACTCGCTAAACACATTCACACGGCGTCGGTTCTTGGTCGGTATCCAAGCGCGCGAAGGCACAGAGACACGGCACTTCGGCGTGCCAAGGATGCTTTGAACACGCCGCCAGCCCTTCCTTTCGACGCGTTGTGCCTTTTTCCTGCGACACTGCACTTTCGTAAAATTTTCCACGTGTTCACAACGGAAAGTCTCAACAATACACAGAGTCTTCAAAAAACTTCTTCGGCGAATGACGACGAACGAGTAGAAAACGTGTCGTCAGCACGCTGGAAAACCGCAGCAAAGGCTAGCAAAAACGGCAAATCGTATCCCAAGCGAGTGACGCCCGGTGGCTTCACTTGCGGGAGCGGCAAGCGCGATCCAGCAATTGTCATTCATTGAGTTGTGATCACTGATCTCAATGACAATTGCTGGATCGCGCTTGCCGCTCCCGCAAGTGAAGCCACCGGACTTCACTCGCTTGGGATACGATTTGCCGTTTTTGCTAGCCTTTGCTGCGGTTTTCCAGCGTGCTGTGGACACGTTTTCTACTCGTTCGTCGTCATTCGACGAAGAAGTTTTTTGAAGACTCTGTGTATTGTTGAGACTTGCCGTTGTGAACACGTGGAAAATTTTACGGAAGTGCGGTGTCGCAGGAAAAAGGCACAACGCGTCGAAAGGAAGGGCTGGCGGCGTGTTCAAAGCTTCCTTGGCACGCTGAAGCGCCGTGTCTCTGCGCCTTCGCACGCTTGGATACCGACCAAGAATCGACGCCGTGTGGATGTGTTTTGCGAGTGCAATGCGCGTGAAGCCGTATCAAAAGGTACAACTCGTCGAAAACAAGTGTCGCCGGTGTCGCGGCGTGATCAAAGCTTCCTTGGCACGCCGAGTGATGCATCTTTGTGCCTTCGCACGCTTGGATACCGGTCAAGAATTGACGCCGCGCCAAAGTTCTGAACGTGTGTCGCGCGTGGAAGCCTTTAGATCATTTATATATATCGGCCACGGAGTTCTGGATCGTCCAGCTGTTCCGGTGAGTTGTATATCAATAAAAGGGAGAGATCTGTACGTGTTCATTCTGTATTATATTAACCATGGCTATGTCCCAAATCTACTCTAATAGATTCCGTGGGAGCACGAATAGGGCAACGTTGTGGAGCCAGGGGGGGTTTCGAAAGCAAAAGTACAAGACGGCGAGAATGAAAATCTTTGAAGCGCGGCCGATATGGTCGTGTGCAATCTGCTGACCAATTACAATTAGGCGAGCCGCGCTCAAACGTCAAGTGCAATTAAGTAGGCTGATAATAAGCCAGCACTGATCAGTGATGAGGAGCTGTTATGCACGGTATTGTGTAAATCGTCTAAGGACGAAAAAAAGACGTACCTTCCCCCCATCTTCCGTCGTTAGTGGACGCTGGATTAAGCTCGTTCCTAAACCGCGAGGGGAAAAGACGCTGATCCAGAGGCACGAACAGCTTCACGCACATTGCACTCGCTAGACACATACACACGGCGTCGGTTCTTGGTCGGTATCCAAGCGTGCGAAGGCACAGAGACACGGCACTTCGGCGTGCCAAGGAAGCTTTGAACACGCCGCCAGCCCTTCCTTTCGACGCGTTGTGCCTTTTTCCTGCGACACTGCACTTCCGTAAAATTTTCCACGTGTTCACAACGGCAAGTCTCAACAATACACAGAGTTTTCAAAAAACTTCTTCGTCGAATGAAGACGAACGAGTAGAAAACGTGTCCACAGCACGCTGGAAAACCGCAGCAAAGGCTAGCAAAAACGGCAAATCGTATCCCAAGCGAGTGAAGTCCGGTGGCTTCACTTGCGCTGCAGCGAACAAGCGGGGAAGCGCGATCCAGCAATTGTCATAGAGATCAGTGGTTGTGATGCATAACAACGAGGTATATGCACTAGCGTGGACTCCTCAGATTGAGCGGTAACTTGCGCTACCTAACCGGTGTTTTTAATAACAATAGTTAACCATGATTCAAGAACCCCGAGACTACAGGTAACTGCGGTAATGTTTGGAGGTGGGCTAGTCGGTGGTGCATGGTAAGCATATAATTAAAACAGCGCAAACGAACGCAAGTACAAGAGGGGCCACAGACATAGCGCTGAGTCGCTGACTCACGATTTCCTCTCTTTTTCGGGATACTGACAGGGTATGCTCGCCAAGGTTTTTATTCGTAAATTACATATGAGAGCCCAACTACCCAGAAAACAATTCGCGGCTTGAATTTCAGCTAAATTTATCGGGGAAATTGTTCCGCTAAATTTGGCGGTGAATTTTTTTCGGTTAGAACTTTCCCGCTACATTTAGCGGGGGAGTTTTTCCACTAGATTTAGCACTGAACTTTTCCCGCTAAATTTAGCAAGAAATGTTTTCCACTAAATTTAGCGGGTAAATTTTTCTGCTAAATTTAGTGGGTACATTTTTCTGTTAAATTTAGTTGGAAAGATTTTTGCTAAATTTAGCGGGGAATTCTTTCTGTTAAATTTAGAGAGGAAAGTTTTCTGCTAAAATTAGCAAGAAATTTTTTCGCCAAATTTAGCGGAGAATTTTTTTCCTCTAAATTTAACGGGGAAATTTTTTCGTTAAAATTAGAGAGGAAATTTTCCGCTAAATTTAGTGGGAAATTTTTTCCGCCAAATTTAGAGGAGGATTTTTTCTCTAAATCTAGCGGGGAAATTTTTACTCTAAATTTAGTGGGGAATTTTTGTGCAAATTTAGCTGGAAAATTTTTCCACCTAATTTAGCGGATAATTTTTTCTGCTAAAATCAGCGGGAAAATTTTTCCGCTGGGAAATTGTTTCCGATAAATTTAGCGGAGAAAGTTTTCCGCTAGAATTAGCAGGGGCATTTTTCCGGCAAAGTTAGCGGGTAATTTCTTCTGCTAAGTTTAGTGGGAAATTTTTCCGCCAGATTTAGTGGGGAACTTTTTCTGCTAAATTTGGTGGGAAAATCTTTATCTGCTAAATGTAGAGAGTACAGTTTTCCCAGGAAAATGTTTCTGCTAAATTCAGAGGGGAAATCTTTCCGCTAAATTTAGCAGGGAATTTTTATCCGCTAAATTTAGAGGGGAATTTTTCTGCTAAATTTAGCGGGGAAATTTTTTCACTAAATTTAGTGGGGAAATATTTCTGCTAAATTTTGCGAGGAAATTTCCCTGCTAAATTTAGCACGAAAATTTCCCCTAGTTGAACGGGAAAAAAATTTCCGCCAAACTTAGCGGGGAAAAATTCCCGCTAAATTTAGGCACCGTGTGACATCAGCTACAGAGGCTGGAATACTGACTAGTGTTGTGAGCGGAGGCATTTTCTATGGGCGCGGAGGCGACGCGAGCGGATGAAGGCGCTAGGGGTCGCTCGACCAGGAGTCGACAGTACGTGTGTGGTGGCAGAAATCGAGAGAAAACTAGGTATTTTCTTATTCACTGATGGCAAGGGGG